CACTTACTCTTCTACGATCAGTCACTTTTCACGGTTTAGTTTTTAGTTTTTTATGGTTGAGCAATATTTATTACTATATACATCATTGGTGTCATTGTGTGATCTGAATTATCGACTGTCGACGTCCCCTGGGCACAGAAGCGCCATCTTAATTGTATACATTTTGAGGGACACTTTTTGTGTACAGAGATTGTTCTCCTTTCCTCTACCCTCCATAGGTTTAACGTATCGTTAATTTCCACGTTTACGTCAGAAAGATACGCATACGTATCTAGCATTGCTTTAACTATCTAATTACGATTTCTCAGAGTATCTCTGTGGTGGAACTCAAGGTCAAATATTTCTATTCTTTCAACTTCAAAGTTCCGACCATTACTTTCTTTTCTGTATTGTTCTTTCTTCTGTGCTTCCAGAAAATACAAGAAATCACAGAGATATCCACAGAATATATTTTGTGGATATTCAATATATCCAATATGGATATCCAACCAAATGTCCGTCTATATCCCAGGATATAGAAGATATTCGGATATTCAGCAAAATATTTTATGGGTATCTTTAGTAGAGGTTCATAAGTAACCAATGATTATTGAATAACGTCGAAAGAAAATAGCAGAGATAAAAAATATTTTCAACACTCAAAATATTTTCAACACGCTGCCTTTGATTTTGCCAAGTAGGAAAAAGTCATCCTTATTAGGACTCTTTAGCAATGAATGAAAATTTTCGACTCCAGTCTCTAATGGAGTGATTAGGACCACATACTTTGCATGATTTTCTTTTACTATACGGAGAATGGTCGCACTGCGCAGCTTTCTGAGTGCCTTTTAAAAGGAGATAGAAAACTCCGCCATTTTGAACCCTTATTACGTGTTGCTTACATCTTGGCGCAATATTTTTAATAGGTGCGTTTTAATCATCCGCTTCTGCTTCGGAATTGTCGGTTTTCTTGTTTTAATCTGACAGGTTAGAACGACTGAACCGACAATTCCGGAAGCAGAAGCGGATGATTAAAACGCACCTGATATTTTGCTTGCTACTGTCAGTGTCAGTGAATAATATTTTTAGAGTCACAATTTATTGCTAAAGAATCAGTTAGCTCACTCGGACCAGTTGAAAGTTCCAAAATAACATCCACTCCAGGGATACAAATTCAGGATACGCAGAAGACTGCTGTTTTATTATAGGCGGTTGTCATATATTGTATTATCTGAGTTGCACAGTGTATAAACTGGAACATTGTGATTAAAAGTGCCGACGCAGAGTGAACGATCTGATTCTTTAGCTATAAACTGTGTCATAGGGTTCAAAATGGCCGCGCTCTATGTTGGGCGTGTCGGACCTCTCTCTTGCCCCGTATAGTAATCAAAGTATGTGGATTAGGACACACATTTCGATCGAACTCAATTACGGCGGGTCGAGCATGAGTAGATGCGATAGTGGTATCGCCATCTATACTTAGTAAGCAGAATCAAATAACATCTAGTGCAGAGATAAGGGAGACAAAGATAGGAAACGCCCATAAGAAGCCAATGCTTAACAACGACCAGCTTTATCGCAGTTAACATCTGACCCACTATGTGGCGCTTTCATCGATATCAAACAATGCAGCGGGAAATTTAAAAACCTGATAATAAAGATTGCATAAATATCGACTGCACTCTCATGAGTCTCATGTTCTTGTAAATAAACTTAAACAATGTAATTACGCTAAATTATTTATTAAAAAGAATACTACACTTACAGTCTATTATCGATTAATTATTGTAAATCTATATTCATGACAAATATTTTTTAATTTTTGATTGTTATTTGTAACACTGCATTTTTGTTTTTATTTTGGTATCTTATTTAAAAATGTTGAGAGCAAATTCAATAATGGGAATTCAGATATTTTTCTTCCTATATCAATTCTTCTTTCTAACGTTTTGAAGCCATTTTCTTGTTCTAACACAATAAATAATACATAAACACCTACTTTGTGACAAAAGTTGATTACTATTTGTGTTACATGAATAGATCTTACCTATTTTGGTTAATTAAAGAACGCCACATTGGGGTTGTTAGATTTGTTCATGTGGCATGTGTTACTAATGCAATACGTTTTCCGACTTATTGTAATAATACAAAATATAATTATTGTTCTTAAATTTCACACAAAAACGGCCACAACTATTTCGCTTAGTTCATCTAGAGGATAACACAATCATGAACTCAAAATTTAAAATTTAAATTCAGGATTCTTCGATATACATAAAACTGACATTTATATTTACAAACTGTCCACTGCTGTCCATGTCTACTATCTGTCTCAGCTTCTACGAACATTGCTAATGCTTGTAATGGAGTAAGAGAGCAAGTTTCTTCACTTTTTGATTTAGAAAATGCATTTTTATATTTAGTTGTACGTGTTGGAGAACTGGCGAGATCTTTGAGTACATCGGAAGCATCTCGTTTTCCAGCTTTCCGCAATTCTACTTGAGCAGCATGTATTACTTCTAGATCGAATCTCCTCAGTTTTCCTCCTTTTAGTTCGATTACTTGACTCTCCAAATGACTTACGTAGGCGGTCTGCCCGATTTTGTGTAACCACGGAATCTCAAAAGTTCCGTTTAGCCATGCATCATTGTATTTGTAAAATACGTCTTGCTTTTTATGTGCTTTCAACCACCTTTCTTTAACTTGAGACTTATAGGGTGCGTAACTGCGTTTAAAACACTCAATTTGGTCTTCGGTGTATCCTTCACACGACAAAAGTTGTTCTTTTAAGAAATCTGATTTTTCTTACAAACTAGGTAAATCTAGATTCTGTATGCGACAGAACAAATATTTACGGGTCACAATTCTTACACCCGAGTTACTTTGTGAACCTAAACAAAAATAAATTCTTTAAATATGTATTTAACATCAATCATAATTTTTAGATTATTGTTTGTTACTTTATTAAAATTCATAATCATAACTAGGAGAAAAACCAAAAACTAACAATAGGGGTCAAAGCAATTAATGGGATTAAATTACTGCGAGTAAGAATATGTTACCATTACTGGAATTATCTCACATGATTACTAAAAACCACTTAAAAGATTAAGTAAAGGTGAATTATTGATTTCAAATTGATCATTTTATTCATCTAAATTTGAACAATTATGGTTAAAGTAATTAAGTGGTTAATGAGTTTAAATTAGTGTAATGTTTTACCATTAATGGGATTATCGCACAGAATACTAAGAATCTGTTAAAAGGATAAGGTAAAGGTGAATTATTGATTTCTAATGGATCATTAGCAGATAATCTAAAATCTATATTAATTTCAAGTGTTTGTAGATAGTGTCTTATTTTCTATATGTAATACTAAAAATTATCACTCAAAGATTGGTTTTCAGTAAAAATATGTTTCGCAAATGTATTAATTTTTATTTTTAAAAAACTAAAAAACACTCTTTTAGAGCATATCAAACTAAAAATATTTTTTTAACACGCTTTTATTCAAATAAGCTTAAAACAATACTAAATGGAAAACACTAGTATTATTGTGAAAAAAGCGTCGGGCGCTCGATGTACGAGAAATATGGACAAAGCGCCTCACGCTTTTTTCACAATAATACTAGTATTTTTCATTTATTATTGTTTTAAGCTTATTTAAATAAAAGCGTATTAAAAAAAATATTTTTAACTTTTTAGTTTGCTATGCTCTAAGAGAGTGTTTTTTAGTTTTAATTTAACAATTTTGCATTTTGTAAAATGGACTTTTGGCCGCGTAGATAATTCAAATACCCCTATGTGCACCGTTTTGTAACAGCTCGAACACTTCAAACCCATCTTCGGGATACTAATGGTTTAGAAGTTTGTACAGAAACTGTTCGTCAGCGACTAAGGGAACATAATTTGAGGCTTAGAATTGTTGCTCGGGGTCCAGCTCTAACTAGAGTTCATCGCAGAGCGAGGCTAAATTTTGCCATGGAGCATCGTAACTGGTTAGAATCTCGATTTTGTTTGTATAACAATGACAGGCGCATGCGCGTATATCGACGTTCTAATGAACGGTATGTAGTGTAATTTCTCACATACAACATTACTTGGAGGAGGATCCCTGATGGTCTGGGGAGGCATTTCTTTGACTGGTCACACGGAACTTGTAATCCTAAATGGAAGCCTTACAGCTGATAGGTACATATTGGTGATTTTAGACGAACATGTAGTGCCATTTGCACCATATATAGGACAAGGATTTTTGTTGATGCAAGATAATGCCAGGCCTCATGCCTACTCGACTTGTGAGAAATTATCTAGAGGAAGTCAGTATCGCTACCATGACATGGCCCAGCTCAGAGCCCGAATTTAAATCCGATAGAAAATCTCTAGGATACTCTTGGGAGGAGATTACAAGAAGGAACGTAATCTGAACTCTCTGGACGATGTACGGCAGAGACTGATTTAAATATGGGACGAATTGGACCAAAATGATATAAGGTCTCTTATTTTAAGTATGGGCTGCTGTTGACAAGTAGTTATTCGTGCCAGAGGCAGAAATACTCGCTACTGACACTTTCGTTTAACTTATTTCTTTACATTTTGTTTCGTGTTTCCGTTGTTAAAATTTGATATTAATTTTTAATAAAATCATGTTATGTTATAAAATAGTGTATGGGAAAGATAATGGAGTAAATAAAAAATAAATTATTAAAAAAAAAATAAGGCTAAATTGTGATATCAATTCTAACTGGATAATGTAACCGTTACACTCTACAGGGTGTTACAACTTTTATGAAAAAATCACGCTATAATTGCTACACCCTGAATTAATAAAAAAAAACTTTTATGCAAACACAGTTAGTACACCTACGTTCTGGAAGAGACAACCTATCATTAAAAAAAAAATACCGTCCAAATCAGACGCAAGTGGTTTTGACAAATATTTACTTTAAACTTTTTGTTCTTTTTTGATGGTGCGTTAATTTATTGGGGAAGTGTAGTTTGTCCATTACTTTTTCTTTCAGTTACGCTAAAACCTTTGGGAACTGAGGCTACTACAAGCACTACTGAAATTAGCACCATAAATCCATCAACTCTAGAATATTCTACGGACCTATCAATGAATTCTGAATATCTCACGACAACTATGTACAGTTCGAGTCCAATGCAAGATTATGAAACATTTTCAACTATAAATGCAGAGGAAAAATTGTTACCCTTGGCCACTGAAGGTTACACTACAGAAAAAGTGAGTTTAACATTGTAACCACAAAGCATGTATCTTCTAGAGACCCCACGCCAATGTTAAACTTTTAAACCAAATTAGCGCCACCTTGTGTTTGGAGCTGGAACTAAAATGACAATTGACAGATGGCGGTAAATTCAAATTGTAATTTTTAGGAGTAGGTAGTAGTATTAAATTAAATTTTAAATGATTTCCACATAAATTATTTTATAAAATAAAGTATGGAACTAGTAAGTTCGAAACTTTTATTTTACAAAATAATTTAGGTCGATTATACCAAATTTGAAGAATTAATTTGTTATAAGGGGTCTAATGTGGAGAGTTGGTTCTGCATATTTTTATTAAATAAATATAAGATATATCAATAAATAATAAAATAGAACATTCTTAAAATATGTTTATTAATAACTTAAATAAATATTATTAGATAAAAATAAATACAAATAATAATACATATTTAACGAATACTTACTTGGAGCAAATAGATATATAATCTCAAATATTTAAAATACCTATCAATAATTTAAATGTGAAGTAGAGACTAGGATATTACATTTTATTAACACTAAAGTTATATATTTTATAAAAGTCTTTTTAACTGAGGACAAATGTAATATAGGTATTGTATTAAAAGGTGAATCCTTTTAACTATTCATTCAATGATAAATAGGTATTTTCCTTCCAAATACAGATGGTGGTATTACTCTCTTATGTGAAAAATGATGAATCTAGTCCAGTGATAAATTAATTATCATCAATTAGTTGTTGTCCCCGTTTGTCTTTTTATGATGCAGATGCATGGTGAATATATGGTGAATCAATGAAGTTTTTCTCGAAGTTTTCAACGTAGCACCAAAATTATTGCAAAACATAGTAGGAAATAAAAAAGCGAAACATCACAATTTTGCAAATAACTAAGACGAAACTATAAACAGAAACCAAAAGCCAAAGCAACAAAAAATCACTAAAATCAGACGGAAAAATGAAACTAACCAAGAACATAAATAAATACACGTCACATCTTTGGAGTCTTTGGTTAAGTTTTTCTCCCATAAGGCTTAAAAATGGAGTAAGAAATCATAATTTCACCAGTAGCCCCATCTAGAGTTTGGAGCAAATAGCATAAAAAATGTCAGTTGTCGGTTTTAACCTTGGTCATTCACGTGGAACCTCTATGTGCTTTGTGATTGTAACGTTGCAATTATCTCCAGTATAGGATTGCAAATTAACTCTATTTTTGTCTACTAATCAGTGGCGGCTTGTGACCAAAAAATTGGGGTTTCACAATGACACAATATAGATCTCAGTACAGATGAAAGTAAAAAACTTTCAATGTTTTAGAAAAGAATAATATACCTTTCTAGATCACTGAAAGTTTTTTGCTTACATCTGAGATCTATATTCTGTCATTGTGTACCCCCAATATTTTGGTCGCGAGCCGTTACTGCTACTAATTTACATACTTAATATAATTTCGAACTTACAGACTTATGAATCTACAACCAAGAAAAATCTTTCTGTAAAAAGTAAAAGAGCTGCTGCAAATTTTTATAAAGACAGCTTTATTCGCAGAGGACGAACTGTGACTTGTCATAACGCTAGAAGATTTAGATCTTCAAGAGAAAGATGGTGGTTCATCGTTATTAGTAATTGCAATGGTGCGAAGGTATCAAAATAAATATTACTTGTTTTTGCATTGTGTTAATCCAAATTTTATTTTAGGGAATTAATATTAAATACAAAATTTTAATGACAAACGGGCCACCTGGTGATTATTGGCACGAGCATTTTTCCGCAGATGAATTTTGTAAGTATATTTTTTATTGTAATAGAAATGTCGCAAAAATAATATTTCATAATTTACCAATATTTTATGTTTGTTTACAAAAAATATTTATTTTTTAAATTACATACATAGGGAAAGTCGGGGTAAAGAGAAACATTTAGGGGTCGCTCAACACTTTCAGCTGAAGACTGGACGCCGCCGTGGTGTACATATCTCGCACTCTGTAAAATCAAACAAGTTTGTATACGTTTCCACTGTAATATTGTAAGGTAAGCAATATAAGATACTTCAAGTACCTTTAATCATTTTTATTTTAAATTTTGTATAGAGAGAGCTAAAGTATTCAGTGCTTTTGTGATATTAGTTAAAATTTTAACAGCCGTATGCATAGTCGATCGCCAGCGATTCGCTAGAGATTCATTTCGGCGGTATCAGCAGCGATCCGCTGGCGAAAGCCCGAAAACCTGGCGACTTGCTGGAGATTGTCACCGGCATGTCATCTCTCGCAAGTTTTCATGTTCTTTTATAGGGAAAAATTAGTTTTCATGTTTTTTTTATAGGGAAAAATTAGTTTTCATGTTCTTTTATAGGGAAAAATTAGTTTTCATGTTCTTTTATAGGGAAAAATTTGATATTCGTTCATTGTTTTTTAAAGGCTGTATGTCACGATACTAAATTAAGTACTAAATTTAGAACTAAATTAATGCATTTTTTAAGTACTAAAAAAATTCACGTTGCAAACAGCAAATTTAGTACTAAATTTAGTGCTAAAAAAAGTCATTAATTAATTAGATCTTTTTCTATTTTCTACTAAATTTAGTACTAAAAGTGCGCCGAAATGTTGCGCAGAAGTTTTTCATAGAAAAAGTTGACACGACGGTATTTTCTGTACCCTTTTATTTTTAATTAGCGACAATTTTACATTATCGCCTTGAATAAAGTTCGCTTGTTTGATTTTGTAGGTTTTATTGTGTTTTTTTCGTGGTTTTTATGTTGTATTTGGTTGTTGTCAAGTCAACTAGTGTCAAATTGATAATAAAAACACCATTTACTTGTCTGTTTTACACATAATATTTCATTTCTCTGTTAATTTTACGTATTAATACGTCAATGAGCATGCGCCTATAGTAAATTTAGTACTAAAAATTGGTATCGTTGCAAACGGAAAAAAAAAATTTTTAGTTCTGAATTTAGTACTAAATTAATAACTTAATTTAGTGCTAAATTTAGTACTTAATTTAGTATCGTGACATACAGCCTTAAGTTTTAAGAAATTAATCATGAATAACATGCGAGAGATTTTTTTTTGGGTGTACACTTTGGGGCATAGTAAAAATGGTGCATTCGAGGCAATGTGAAATGCATTCTACTTTGCCCCATATTTTAAGGTCTTGGGGTAAAGTGAATGTTCTATTTCTGTTTCAGAAAAAGACTTCAAAATGGTTAGAAAATATCAAAGGAAGTCTAAACAGTATTTGAAAAAGAAGTTGTACTTCGAAACAATTATTTTGAAGCATTTTTTGTTTTAATTTTTTTAAATAGTGGACAAAAATGGCTAAAAAACTGTGTGATTTAAGTCGAGAGTTAAAAGAACGTGAATTGGAGACGACAGGGAAGAAATCAGAACTGACAGAACGACTTAAAAAGGCACAAGAAAATGAAGGTTTGGATTTGGAGACGTATCTATTTTCGGATGGCGCGTCTGCTATAATTTCTTATTTGGAAAGTAAAATGTAAAAATATTAATTTAAATTTGGCAGTCTACCCAAATGAATTTAAAAATTAAGTAAACTTAATGTATCTAGAATTATATACTCAATGCTCGAGCGAGCGTCTAGCACACGAGCCATTTTGATGAAGTTCTGTACAGTTATAACACATGTCGCGACAGAATTGCTTACAATTAAACGTCCATAAGGTTGATCTACTAGGATATCTAAATACAATGGTATAAGTAAGATCCCGAACGGTAAACCGAAGATAGTGCACCAAAATCGGCTGGCACCATTTGAGGGTGGCTATGACGAGGAAGAATTAAACTAGCTCCAAGAAACACCTGACCTTGTCTTTGAAGAATTTATGGGTGCATATGGAGGTACCGGAAAAGCAAGACATTGTGTTACAACCGAGCAACAACAAGATATGCTCACGGATCCGTAAGACTACTCGATGGTCCATAGCACTTCCGCCAACATCAACGACGCTCGAGGTCTGGCATCTGTGTTCCGGAAGAAGTTTGGTCGATTGTCAGAACTTCAAGATTAGTTACCAGCCCCAGGAAAAACATTGAAACTTCAAGATGGATCGCGTTATCTTTTCTATTTGGTAACAAAAAACACCTTCCGAGATTAATCAACTTATCATGATGTATGGGAAGCATTACTTAGTTTAAGGAAGCACGTACTGGAGTCCAATGTACAGAAACCAGCCATGCCCAAGATGGAGAGCAACCAGCTAAATTGGAGGATCATTAGAAATATGCTGGAAGTAATCTTCCAAGATTCCGAGATCCAAATACTAGTCTGCAGCCATTCGCCTAGTATCCAGGTTTCAGCGAAGACTGTCCCTTTGCAGATATAATCATTCAGTTTTAGTTCCAGGAGGAACTATTTATAAGAAAGGAGCAATGTGACGCGAAAGCCGTCTATGGTTCCTTGTTTACTCCTTTCCAGCGGTATGAAGTCTAGCTGGCCATACCGCTTCGAAAAACCTTCGGAGTGATCTCTTTGAGGCGTATGGGTCATAGAGAGGCAGTTCTCGATCATTGTAGAAAGCCGAGAGTGTTCTAGTACAGAGCTGACTTTATATAAATAGCGGGAGTTTGTCGACGGACAAGAAGTTTCAATTTAAGTGTTGGACAGAAAAGATAAATTGTAATAAATCGATTATAATTGTGAGTTAAAATAGTTCCTAAGTATTATACAAATTAATTAGTACGTTATAAATAAATTGTAAATAAAGTGTTTTAAATAAATAAACTATAAATAAATTAAATAAACGTTACATTATTGTATATCTAATTTAAATTAGGCGAGCAACAAAGCTGTCAAGTTTTCCGCTCGGCAAGCGACAAAGCTGTCACTTAATATCAGTTCGCGGAAAACGTCATCTTTGCGGTTGGATTTCGAAGCACAAAAGACTACTTTGGATAGTGATTGTAGGAAAAATTATTTTTTCTATATTTAAAAATATCGTGGATGAATATAAATTTGTAGATACACTTAACGGGTAATCTGCTACACTTTCATAATATATTTTGAATAAACTGAAATTTTGTGCATATTTTTTGGTACTTGAAAATGTCCATATTGATACTTTTATAAAATATTAATTTGATGGAAAAGTGCATATTTTTCTTATCAAATTAAACTGTGCCTGTACCTATATCAGTTCAATTAGTTTATTACTGCTCTCTTGTACAAATAAAATTATTTCACTTTACCTCAACGAGTATTTCACTTTGCCCCTATTATGGGACACAATGAAAAATAATTCGCATTTTTAAAAACCATATAGAACTTTGGAAAAAAAGATGAAGTCATTTTGGTTGTCGATTTACATAGACAAAACAGTAACAAACAAAGCTATATTAAATATATACTCATCACTCCTTAGGTACTATTTTAATAGCCAAACCTTAACTATGCCACTTTGCCCCGACTTCTCCTAATTTGTAGAGCTATTTATATTTTTTAGATATTCTACCTGTTCTTATGGCATTCGTAGTGGCCTACTCTTTTCTCCTATTAGGAATAGTAGTATGTACAATGGAACTGAAATCCAGGCAGTTATTACATACAACATACAAAATATTCGTGTTCTCCGTAATTATCCAATTATTTGGAATATTATTTGTAAGCAGTTGCTACCTCAAACTGGCTGTTTCAGGTTTTATGGTTACAAAGATGAGAAGATTTGGTATAATGAAATATCGGGGTTTGCAGGACAATGTTCTAATAACTATTTTTTAGGTCTTGTGTTGATGGGGATGTCCGAAACTAGTTTTCTGTTGCTTTTGTTACTTTTGGTAAAAGGATATACCGTTACTAGGGGACGTTTGCCTATATCAGCCAGTATAAAACTGACAGTATTTATGTGTATCTATGCTGTAACTTATGTATCAATATTTATTTATGAAGCTAAGGTAATGATAAGATACACAACTATTTTGAATCGCTTCTTGTTTATCGTAAACAAATCTATTTTTGCAGGTTTTTGATCCGGGAGAGGTACTTTATCTTTATGAATCTCCTGCCGGGTATGGTTTAATAATATTAAGAATTTTAGCTTGGTGTATGTTTATCTATTCCACAATATTTACTTTAAAACACTATCCAGAAAAGGTAAGAACTTAAATACCTCACTTGATTATGCTTGTGTAGATTCAGATTTGACTGCGTTTCAATATTTTTCAAATATTTACAAAAGTGTCCACTAGAAAATTATAAAAAATTATACCCAAATCTCAAAGGCGAAAACAAACAAATGAAAAATTAAATCGTATAAGGGTCCTTTTCAATAACTTTCTAATTTGGGTGATCTTAACGATCACTCCTACATCTCTCAAGATATTTAGCAAAATGTTTGCAAAGATTTATAGTTTGGTACCTGGCCGACTATGACAAATACAAAAATTCACAAATAGTTTATGTCTTATACATTTTTTGTTTTTTACACATGCAATTTCATACCTCCGTCACACGTCACGCTTGCTATTTCGTATGTTTGTGCCTTTATACATGCAACATACATGTAATATGTCATGTTTGTCGCTATTTTTCATAATCTGCCATATTTTTACTGTTAATATAATGATAAAATGCAACAAAAAATCGATTATACATATTACTAAATCTTGAATATTGGTTGTCATGCTGCGTGTGTCCGATCTCCGTCACACCAACTTTAAGTTGAAAAAGTGACCATCAGGTGGCGGTATCTGCGAATAAAATAAGTCTGATTTTGTTGCTGGGCCTCAGTGCATTCATGATAACGTTTTACCGACAACGCCGACAAGACTATGTATAGCAAGCGAATGCTGAAGAATAGGCACAATTGAGCTCCCACACACTATGCGGAGGACCGCGTATGCCGAATATTCGCCAATTACACGTATTGTCTGGGGCTGGCCTAATTGTTTAATATAGCACGTGCAAGAATTCGGAAGATCTATATTAAATGAATCATATTACCGTCACGTCGGATATCCGTCACGCTGACATTAAAACGTGACGGAGATGACGAATGGGACGGAAATATTATTTTATTTAAACGGTTTCAGTTCAAAAAATTAGAATGATATTATATTTATTGTTTATCTGCTCAAAATTAATTTCAGACAGTGATCGAAAGTAAAAGAGATTTTCTTTCAATTAATATGGAGGAAAACTCTTCGGTATGCGTTTCCCTGAAAAGTAGTTTAGATGATGATGTAACGCTAAAAATTAGCCCACAAAAGATAATAAAAGCGAAAAAATAGCTTTATTAAAGAAAAAGTTAAAAGCCATGAAAGAGAGTGCGTTAGAACAACAAGTAAAAGATAAAAAATTGAAGAGGTTGAACACCAATAAAAATACCTTCAAAATTAAATTAGGTACGTGACATTACTAACAAAGCAATATCCAAGTTAAAATCAGATAACTTAGCGAAAGCCAAACTAAAAGATTATGAAAAAATATTGCGTTGGACATCTAAAACCACAGAATCTAATGTTAAAATTTTTAAAAAATTAGTGTATTTTCTTGCGTATTTTTCTTTACTTTTCATATTTCCGTCACATTATCATATTTCCGTCACATTATCATATCTCCGTCACATTATCATATCTCCGTCACTCTTTCATATTTCCATCACCTCATGTTTTAGTGAAATTGTAATTCTAAGGCACTTGGAGTTAAAATTTTTCAATTTAACGTACTATTTTAGAGTTATTTAACTGATTTGTGCAATTTCTATAAGCTACTTTAGATTTTTTTACTAAAAAAAAGAAAAATTCCATTTTTTTACCTTTTTTTTTTAATTTTGCAAATTTAAACGTTATCTAATTTTTTTTGTAGTTTTGTATGTGTGACGGAAATCTTAAAATATAAGACATGCATTGACATATTTCTACAGAAAAAAAAGTATCTGAATATTTTCAATAACCAAGGCTCTAACCAAGGCTCAAACCAAGTATTTCAAGCATGTAACAATATAAAAAGTTTGATATTAAACTGATAACTTTAAGTGAAATTTTCAAAATCACTTATAATGCAAATTAAAAGGTTATTGAAAAGGACCCATAACCGAGTGGTCAATCCAGGTAGGTATGATTGGCTCGATACCAGCTTGGAGTATGTAGACCTTTTTGAATATTTCATTAGATTGCATTCATTTTGTGAATTTGAGGATACATTTTCATAATTTCATAGAGGTAATGTATTTCTGAATTTACAAAATGTCGAATAATTTATATGATTGGTGATTTTTTCTGGATTTCTCACATCTTCAAATAATGATAATTAGATCTGCTCTTCCTATATTACGCAAAAGTTTTATTTTGTAAAGATCGACCGAAATAACTGAAACCGCCAAGATCATATCGTCGTCAATAGAGAGTTAAAGCAACGCTAGATACGTATGCGTATCTCTCTGACGTAAACGTAGAAATTGACGATACGTTTAAGTAATCTGAAAGAAAAAGATAGTTAAAGCAGAAACATTGACGTTATCATATCTACAACTTTGAGTACTTTTTGAGAAGAGTATTGTTAGTTATAGAGAAAATTTTGATTTTGGAGAATTTTAATAACGATGATGCTGTAAGGTTACAAATTCTACAGGATTTAAAAAAATTGGAAAATAAAGGTTTTTTATATTAGAGATTCAATTTCACTAGCCCATTTGAAATTGAATGAAAGAGTCTTTCGATTAAAAAGAGGGACATAATTAGATTTGTTAGGGCTCTTTTGGCATGCCAAATATGATTATAACAAATTATTCTAGCAATTGTTTTCTGAAATATTTTTTGTGCATATATAAATTACAAATTTATCTTATTTCATATTATGGTTCAGAACTTGTCAAGCATGTGTGTCTACTTAAGTTGGAACCATATGGAAAACATTTTTAATATTGATTTTAGGAAAAAAAGTTATTCTTGATAAAAAGTCTTGCATGACCCAAAACCTAAAATACAGTCATCACATATCAAATTTTTCAAGCCGTATACGAGGTTTGTCAAAAAATATGAATTTTGATCAAGAGTAAAGTACGTTTATTTTTGACAAAATCGAAAATTTTCATTAAGAAAAGTTGATTAGAATTGAATATTACATTCAAATATGCAATTACACCGATCTATCTGAAAAAAACAGATTTGCTTATTTTTTATAAACTCTACACTCTACACATTGATTGTAAATATCTGAAAACGTTATAAATTACGTTAGCTACTATAAACATAATATGCTTTCCTTTTGTTGATGTTTGTGAAGAATTTAGCAAATTTCTTAATGAAAATTTTCAATTTTGTAAAAAAATAAACGTACTTTACTCTTGAGCAAAATTCATATTTTTTGACAAACCTCGTATACGGCTTGAAAAATTTGATATTTGATGACTGTATTTTAAGTTTTGGGTCATGCAGGACTTTTTATCAAGAATAACTTTTTTTCCTAAAATCAATAATAAAAATGTTTTCCATATGGTTCCAAGTAGACAAACTGTATATATAACATTATAAGTTACAATCTGTCATTCGTTTTATTAATCGGGTGCGATCGGATGCTTCCGAAGTATTTGCTCGGCTCGATACGAATGCGTATTAGGCATACGTAAGAACACGTACGTTTACGTCAGACGTAAATAGATACGTAGGGAAAATAGCGGTTGCGCATGCGTAGTTGTCATTAGATACGTTTACGTATACGTTGCTGGCATTGCTTTAACTCTCTAATATCACGAAGTAACGTAATTTGATTTTCACAACCTTACAAGGGAGCGTTTTAAAGTTTTTTTTTTTTTAAGTTACGCCTCTTCGTGAATTTATCAAATACACCAGTTAGATACGTGCTATTTTAATAAATGTAATGAATTGAGATACGCAATTTCCTGAAATTGTAGAGCATATTTTTACATAATATGTGACTTTTTTGTGAATTTTTTCGAGTTACGTCACTTCTGGTTGTTCGAGGTAATCACTTGGATCCTAAAGTCTAAGTAGTGCATTTTGAGACGTTGCCAAATAGTACAAGTAATAATATAACGATAGTATTGAAGTAGGTTCGTTTTCTGGTAAACTTCATTCGAAAGAGTGTACCTCTCTTATTAAGTGTGTTTATTAAGTAAACTGACATTATTTTTTGACTTACTATTAGCCCTAGAGAGTTAATCAGGTCTTCATAAAATACCCTGTGTATATACATAGATATAATTTATTGATTTAAACATATAAACAATACCCGTTGGATTCGGTCTCTAACCATTGCCACTTACATCAATAAAGAGGAGATTTATTTCTAAGCCTCTATACATCTTGGTCACACGAAGGTTCGATAGCTATTGAAAAAATCTCTATTTAATTATAGACCGTCAGATAGTGATGATTAAGGTGTCCCATTTTCGCATACAATTCTCGAAGAGGGTTAAACAGTACATCGATGTTGAGTAGAATAAAAGAAAATTTACGAGTGGCTCTTGGGGATAACACTTGGAAAATTAGATTTTCCTTAACATAAATATTTTCCGTCCCCAAAATGTAATTATCCATTCGGGTCATTCAAGCCAATATGTTTTTCGGACTAGTGACGATGTACGTTTTCATACATTCTAGATTTTTCTTACAAGATTACGTCCTTATTTCAACCCTTTAGCAACTTGCAACATTAAAGCCTTTGGTTTTGAAGCCTAGTTATATTAATTAATCATTTAGTGAACATATGGGCAACAAATATACCTTTTAATTTCTGATAAGAGAAATAAAATTTTTCATATGTTATCCCCAAGGACTCGTAAATTTAATTTCATTCTACTCAAAATCGATGTACTTTTCAACCCTTTTCGAGACTTGTATGCGAAAATGAGACACCTTAATCAGACACTATCTGACGGTCTATAATTAAATAAGAGCTTTTTCGGCGTTTGTATGCGAATATGGGGCACCTAAATTTGACGCTCTATTATGAAATATGTTGATGTGTATTTAATTTTTTAGGGAAATTTTTACTACCCTTTCAATATTTTCGGAACTCTTTGGTTTATAGCTGGACCAGCTTTTATCTTATCAGCAAATAATTACATCGACAAATGGGTGAGAGAATCAGTGGTATTTGCTGTACTCCTTTTTATATCATTTGGAGGACACCTAATGTTTTTGGTAAGTTAATGATAAATATAATATTTCTGGAAGCCATATTTATAGTAGCGTTATATTTTCTTAGATTTTGACTATGCCGTCAGTAGCTAACAAAAATTTTCCATACCACGTGAGAACAACCCAAATAGGTATTATGGAGCTCGCAGGAAGAAACGGAACTAGTACTATGGAACAATTTGGCCACCATATGTATGAACCCACCACTACATTTAGGGAACAAACTGTTATTATACCGCTTACTAGGAGAACTGAGGAAATATTTGAAGGTATATTTCAAAAAGGTCTTAATATGTGCTTCAAAAGGTTTTTCTTTGCTGAACTCTTTTTAATTTTAATAACTAGATAGGAAAGCCATATGTTGGACAAATCAGATTTTTTACTTTAACACAAGAAAAGCAGGCCCGAAGATTTGATCTTGCCAGCACTGAATATTAGATTGGGAGTTGGACGTTATTTGTCCTTGTCCACCGCGACTTTTTCAGATCTATTGTGGGACTCAATTTGTCTTAGAGTATGTCGTCTAGCTTGGTCTTTTTTATTAGACTTAGTAGCTTTGACAGTGACTCCCGCATGTAGTTGCATGCATTTGGCTTTACTTCGCTCAATGTTAGAAACCTCATTCCAGCCAGGTTTTCACATTGGCACAGGGCGTGGAATTATGTTTCTTCTTCTTCTTCACAGAACCTGCACAAAGTTGCTTCTTCTGCTGGACTGATGACATTCATGTGCCTTTTACAGCGACAGTGTCCGGTAAGAAGACCTACTGTTATCCTAACGATTTGACGCTTTTGATCCAGTAGGTCTTTCGTGAACTTGGCCGATGGTTCCTTGATGAACTGTTTGGCCTGTCTCAGTCTTGGATAGTTGTTCCACCATTCCTGAGACTCTTTTTGTATCCATTGTTTGATGGATGCCTTGCACAATGCCTTTGCAACTCCACAAGGGTTCGGGGCCTGTCATGGCCTTATCTGAGTCTTCTCGGGCTAATTCGTCGGTCTTTTCGTTGCCCTGATATCCCTCATGGCCTCGCACCCAGGCTAGGGTCACCTTGTTTTGACTACTTAGGACTGCCAGGTCTTCTAGACAGTCTTTCACCAGTCGTGATTTGATTTCTGGTGAGAGAATTGCCTTTAAGAGCTGCTTGGCTAGCAGAGTATATGGCAATAGTTTTGCCTGATACTTGCTGATTTAGTATTTCTCTTGCACAGTGTTGTATGGCTATTAGTTCAGCCTGGGACACTGTTGCATATTTTCCTAAACTCAGCGAAATTGTTGTTTTCGACTTGGGTTCATAGATTTCAGCACCGGCTCCTTCCTTGATTTTTGAACCGTCTGTGTACATGCATTAGCCTGTGAATAGCTGACCTGGTTTCTCCTTGTATGTAGATGTGCAGTGGCGTGAGTTTTAATAATACCTCCATTGTTGCAGTTGGCGTAGTGCGCATGGCCCCCGTAGCACTCAGACAGGCGAGCCGCTGAATGCCAGTAAGTTGGCCTATTGCACTTGCCTGTGCAGTTTTGGTTACCCACGTCACTGCGCCATAGGCTATCATGGGTCTTATCACCCTTGTGTATAACCATATGGTCATTTTGGGGTTTAGACTCCAGTTTTTTCCCACATATTCTTCTACAGCTTACGAGAGCTATTGTAGCTTTGTGTATGAGTTTTTTGAGATGTTGATTCCACGTCAGCCTTTGGTCAAATATGACTCCGAGGTATTTGGCTTCTGTGACGAATGCGATAACTGTGTTGTTTAGTACTAGTGATCTTAGTCCTGTAAGTACCCGTTTTTTTTTAAATGGTACAACTGTTGTATTTTGTGCGTTAATGGACAATTGTTCCTTTTGTTTCCTTTTTGTTAAGTCATCTGCGTATCCTAGGCACTGGTAGCCTTCTTTGGACAATTCGTCCACAAGAACTGACCACAGCATTGGAGATAATATTACTCCTTGTGGGCAGCCCCGTGTAACTTTTGTCTATATGGTTGCCTTTCCTAGAGTGGATAAAATGATCCTGTTCTCTAGACAGGCAGTGATACATTGGCAAATTGTAACTGGGACGTAACTGTTCTAGAGCCTTGATAACATATAACATTTTTACTTTCAGGAATGTATAATCAAGCAGCATTTAGACGAACGGACCTTCCAAACGAAAACGCGTCGGAAAACGAGGACAACCGAGAACAAAGTGACAAAACTATAGATAATGTATTGAGTTGGTCATTGGCTAAAAATGTATCAGCCTTGGAATTGCCAGTGAACGGGGTGAATTATAATAGTGCTACAGGTAATAGCTTTGTTTTAGTTTTTAATGAAGTAGGTACTTAATTTTTGGGGTAAAGAACACAATAATGTTTAAGTATTTGAAATTAAATTTGTAGTTTTTAATAGTGGTGGGTCGCTTGGAAATGTCTACAGACATGTCCGACATTAGTGTTTGAGATATAGACTACATATCTGAGATTTTTCATTTTCGTATTTTCTTTTCATATCTTATGAAAACGTGAAACGTGAAAACATGACCAAAAAATCCAAAGTTTAGAAGTATTTTACAGATGATTTGTTTAAAAAACGAACATACAGTAGCAACAATTATTCCCAAAGTTTTTTTGAAAATGTATCCGAAACATTTAACTGTTTATCTTCTATGCCCAGGGATATTATGCAGCAGTTTCTGGGAAAAAGGTCAAACAACAAAATGTTCTACCTTAGTGTTAGGTTGAAAATGAGTGGGATGATCTCATCGCCTTCCACTGTGACATGACTAACTTATAGTTCACCGTACAAGCCACATCTTTTGATAAAGGTCATGGTTGAATTGGGCGAGACTTCTTTAAAGTCGGTAGGCTCCAGTCGGGTAAATCCGAAAATCTGGAACCTGGTTCTTTCCAGAGCGGAGCAGGTGCATAAAATGTGCTCTGCAGACCCGTTCTCCAGGCTGCAGAATCGACAGTCCGATGTATGTTGCAGACCTATCCTTCTCATGTGGTTGCCCAGACGGCAGTGTCCTGTCATCAGTCCAGTGAAAATACGTAGATCTTTCCTACTCCATTCTCGGATTTGAGCAGAGGCGTTCATAGAAGGGTTGGTTATAAATGCCTTCGAATGGGTTAGCCCTGGGTTATCTCTCCAGTTCATGAGTGTTGCACCCTCCGTCCATTTTGAGATGATTCCTTTGGCAGTGCTTTTTGCAATGCCCAGGAATGGTTCTGGTCCTATGAACACAGATTCGGTTCCTCTTTCAGCAAGTGCGTCATCTTTTTCGTTGCCCTTCCACACCACTGTGTCCCGGAACCCAGATCAAAGTAACTTTGTTCCGGGCACCGAGGCACTCTAGGGTATTTATACAGTTCCAAACCAGCTTTGAGTCAACTCGATTGGAGCTCAGGGCCTTAAGGGCTGCCTGGCTATCTGAAGATCTTTATAGTCTTGTTTGCGGGGAGAAAATTAATCTCTCTCGTTCCCAATTCTATAGCAATCATTTCTGCTTGGAAGATCGTGGCCAGAGAGCCTAGGTTTATTGATATGTCAACTCTAGGCCTGTGGCCGAAAACTCCCGCTCCTACTCCTTTTTCAGTTTTGGAGCCGTCCGTGTACAACGCATAGTCTGCCTGGGAGAGGGTTTTTTCCCCTCTGCTCAATGCGTCTATCTCTGGATTGAGGACGCTGTATGGCTTTTCTATGTGCTGTCGGGGAACTAGCCGAGACCATGCCGAGGATGAGGTGGTCATTAATTTCACTCATCAGCCCCATCTTGTCCCATCGCAGTTCTTCGTAAGATTGACTACCTACTTTCAGGAGCCTGTAGGAGACCATTCTGGCCTCCCTTTCCAGCAGAATGTGGAGAGGGGTTAGGTGGTCTCCGTGGCTCCCGTAGGTGTAGTTGACATTGCTCTAGTTATGGCGAGGCACGCAAGCCGCTGTATTCCAGCCAGATTTGCTCTGGCCGTCCGTTGGTGTCCCTTGTCCCACCAGACGACAGAGCCGTACGTAACCATGGGTTTTACCACTGTTTGATAAATCCAATAGATCAGTAGAAGACTAATCCTCCATGCTTTGCCGCATATCCTTCTAAGGGTCCAAAGGGATAATCTGGCTTTATTGATGGTTTTATCCAATTGGGGGTTCCAGGTGAGTTTCTTATCTAGGGTGATTCCCAGATATTTCACCTCCTCCGCAAAAGGAATGGTTTCCCCAGTCAAGGTAGGTTGTCGAAGCTTGTCGAGCTTTCTTCTCTTGGTGAAGGGGACAATAACAGTTTTGCGGGGGTTAACAGACATCTGCTCCCTCTCGCACCATCTCTTGATCGTATTAAGGGCTTGTTGAAGGATGTTGGAGATCACCTCTTCGAACTTTCCCCTAATTATGATAACCAGATCGTCCGCATAGCATTGGAAATCCACCCCCTGTCGGGAGAGATCGTCTAGCAGGTTATCCACCAGAATAGTCCACAGTAGGGGTGAAAGTACGCCGCCTTGTGGATATCCTCTGGCAGGACTGAAAGTGACAGTCTCTCCCTACAGTGTATGAAGTGATGTTCCGGTTTGCCAGCATGCTTTTGATCCAATTACAAGTTAGTTTGTCGATTCCTCTTCTTTCAATAGAAGAGAACAAAGACTGAGGAATGACGTTGTTGAACGCGCCTTCTATATCTAGGAAGGCACCTAGCGCAATCTACCCGTGATTTAGGGAACGGCCGATTTTGCCTACTAGATTGTGCAGGGCATGATCTGTCGATTTACCTGTTATCTGCTTGGTAGGCATATTAAGAGGAGTTTAACGGGTTTGCCCGAAGACCTCCTTCTCTAATATACTTATCTAGAATCATCTCTGGTGTTTTTAGAAGAAAGGATGTTAGGCAGATTGGACGATAAGAGTTTGGTAGGGAGGTATCTACTCTACCAGCCTTGTGTATATACGCGACTTTCGTCAACGTCCATCCTAGTGATATAGCTCCACGCCAGGCTTGCTCTAAACAACCTCACAAGGAGAGGTAGCAGGAGTTCCTGTCCTTTTTGTAAAAGGGCGGGAAAAATGCCATCCTCTCCGGGTGATTTGAAGGGGAAGAATGAATTCATCGCCCATTTCACAACGTTTGGAGAGACAATTTGTGCAACAAAGTTCCAGTCCTCCTTTTTGGGTCGTATAATCGATTCCGTTAAAGGAAGGGGTACATGTTGCCTGTCCTCCAGGATTCGACTGCCTGGGAAGTGTTTCTGTAAAAGAATCTCTAAAGTTTCCTTACCAGAGTTCGTATAGGTGTTGTCGGGTCTTTTTATCGAGCCGACTTTCTGTTTCGGATCTTTGGCGAGAATCTTGTGAAGTCTCTGGTACTTGCAGGTAAATCTGATATACTCTGACAGAACTTCCTCCACGATTCTCGTTTGGCCTTTCTAATAGCCTTGTTGTATTCCGTTAGAGATTTGCGGTATTTTTCCCAGCAGCCAAATTCTTTAGCTCGATTGAAGAGATGTCAAACTTCTTTTCTTTTTTGGTCGAGGCTTCTACTTCATCATGGAGTACCCCTCAGGTCTCTTCTCTCCTTTAGTGGGCAGTTGTCCTGATAGGCAGTAATAAGGGCATTTTAAATTTGATCATTCGCCACTTCAATCTCTGCGCTATTCTTAATAGTTTTAATTACGTTTTCTAACCCCTCCTGGAGGGACTTTTCGTATCCGCTCTAGTTTGTGCTTTTAGGGTCACGAAATTGGAGAGTAGGTATCCGATCCATCCTCATGTCAAATCTGATTTGTCTGTGATCTGAGCATGAGGGTTCGGTGGATACCCTCCAGTTAACAATATTGGCACTCACAAACGACGTACTGATTATTATGTCTAGAACTTCCGCACAATTTTTCGTCACGAAAGTTGGTTCCGAACCTACGTTGTTAACAATAAGCCCTTCACCGATTATATAATTATAAAGTTGCTCACCTAGTGTATTGATGTCGGTACTTCCTCAGTCCCTGTGGTGGGCGTTAGCGTCGCACCAAATGACGAGCTGCTTGTTGTTCCTCTTGCAATAGGCAAGTAGCTCTCGCACTATCGCTGGAGGAGGGGGTTGGTCTTGACCTGAGTCTCCCGGGAAGTAAGCAGAGCAGACTACTAAATCCTTGATGTTGTTCTCCACCGGGATCGAGACCTGGGCTGCAACCACATCGGGGGTGCAGTAACCTGTTAACATAAAAATTTTATATTATTTCTGATAAGCAGGCATGCTCTTGGTTTGTCCGGAGAGTTACCGGCTACCAACTTACCCGAACAGTTTCAAAGGCCGCTTATCCGGCCGTTGCTGGAAATCCAGGGTTCCTGGATAAAAAGGATGCCTAGTTTCTCCTTAGCAAACCTCCTGCCAAGGACGTATGAAGCGGCTTATGCGTGGAGGAGATTTGCCTGGAGAAGGAGCATCGGCTTGCCCATTGTTAGTGAGAGGGAGGGATTGGGGCAGTGGGTGGTGGTGGTGGTGGAAGAGGATCTTTTTTCTCGCTCCTATTCTCCGTATTTCCCTTCTCTTTGGTTTTGGAGCCTTTACGCACTGCTCTCTTGGACAGGGGTTGTTTCCCCTTGTCCTGTGAGGAGGCGGGCCTCTAATGAGGTTTCGCGGGTCCAGGGATCCTCTTGTTAGCCACTTCGGCTACAGGAGTGATCTTTTCACGTCCTGCGTCCTTGGCGACCCTACTCGAGGTTCCCGAGACAGACGGCATCTGTTAAGAGTCTGTTGTTGGGACTGTCTCTGCGATCTCGGAGCCGGAATTGCACCAGTCGGAAGCCGAAGTTCATCCGTTCCAACTCTCTCATCGAGACATCGTCGATGGAAAGCGTCCAAGTGTGACCCAGCTGGCCTGAGGCTACCCGGTGTAGACAGATCCACTCCTGGGTTCGCAGGCCTCGGTTCATTATCCTGAACCGATTTGTTTCCTGCGCCCATGTTAATCCGGTGGATCCTACATCGTCAGGGATGTACACCACGCAGAGTAACGGCTTGGGTATTTCCTTACCTTGCACCAACTTTAGACGTGCGTCATTCTATGGGCGAAGTTTGTCTATGGCTCCCTCTAGCCACCGAGCCGTTGTTGCGTCGGCACAGTCCAGAAGGAGATGACCTGGTCTGAAGGTGCAGCCCTGGAAACGGATTTGGGGTCCGTCCACAGGTTGTCTTTCTACAGTTCTCATGATTGAGAGCTGTATAGCTTGCAGCTGTTCATTCGAGAGCTGGACGTCAGGGTGTTCTGGGTGAATAATCCCCACTCGAACACTCTCCGCCGCGGCCTTGAATGATCGTTTCGGCTCAACTACGGCATCCATACGGAGTTTTTTAAGTTCCGTTTTAGGAATGCTGTCGTCGGAGCGTTGACGTTTGGTTCTAGACTCCTTTGGTGGGGTTTGTTTCCTCACCGGTTGTCCAAATTGTTTATTTGGACTCGAGAGGGTTGGTTTACACTCACTTTCTCCTCCAACTCTTTGAGGGTCTGCTTCAGGGCGGATTGATAGTCAATGCCGCGCTGAAGCATCATTTTGAGGCGCTTTCTGGTCGCTCCAGCGAACCTTTTGGCGTGCCTCTCAGGTTTATTAGAGGAGGTTGGTGCCTCCTCTTTCTCCACCTGAGTTTAATTTCCGTTGGAGTTGGGTGATGCAAGTAAAGCATCCTCCATCTCCTCCGGAATGACGTTGTTTGATGGGGTTGAAAAAACCTCCATCGGTTCATCGCCAGATTCCTGGCGATCGAGGGGATTATCCCCGTCGTCGTTGTTTATTTGATCGTCTTCCATACAGATCCCACGAGTAGCTAGGGAAAGGGTGGTCAACCACGGCAGAGCCCCGCATGCCGCAGCAAGACTAGTTACTGCCTGGAGGTCGCCTGGTTTCCCGGAGGCTCCGTTCGCAGTGGCGCTCCCCCGCCACCATGCATCCCTTCGGCACGAATCACGTGGCACCTTTGGATTGGGGGGTTGGTCAGCGTCACCTTATTGGGTATTCGGTGGTAACCTGCAGGATGAAATATCGCTGCAGACCGTTCGGCCATCCGCCACCTGCCGACGCTCTCAGTAGCCGCCTAAGCCTTGAGAGGTTCTACCTTACTTCTTTAGCCATTTAATCAAGTTTTTTCAATGTCGACTACTTTCCATTACTTGTTCGGACATGTCATGGCCACGTCACTCGGACATGTTGAAAAATTACTTTTCCGCAAAAAAAACTTCATCAAAACATTTGTTAATTGAATTTTAAATAATTTCTAGGTATCTTATTGAATAGAGCTATATCATTAAGGACTACAAATTAGGGTAAAGCATTTCTCAAGATAACATGGGTCATGGAAGTCATTCTTAATCTCATTCTCCTTGATATTTACATCAAGGAGGTTGCTCTGATGACAATGACACGCCTCTGCACGGTTGGTATAGAACTTGATGTAGAATCTGGCGAGGCGAGACGTCACTTTTGGTAGGAGGCGCTCGATACGCTCCCAATGCCTCAAGCGAACAGACTCCATCTAAAGTTATAACAAAACAAATAGAAGAGCCGGAAGTGGCAGGTACGATTCATACCTACACCGACGGTTCTAAAACAAAACAAGGCTTAGATTGTGGAATATACTCCAGATCCTTAAACATAAGACACAAAATGGGCTGAGAGCAATAGTGCCAGTATAGTTCAAACTGAGCTCACGGAAATTCTCATAACAGCAAAAGAAATCACCAGCACAAGCACTACTTACCCTGGACAAACCACGAATTTACTCAGGGTTAATTAGTACTAGAATGTCACGAAGCTTTGGCCGAAGTATCTATCCATCAACAATGTGGTCAACTTAAGATGGATCGAAGGTCACCCACATCGAAGGTAACCGTCTTGCTGATTCACTAGCCAATAAGGCAACCAACCAAATATTTTGGACTTGGTCCTTCTATTAGACTGACAACATCGATAGTGACAAACCGAATTAACGAACATTCCCTTGTGAAATTCAAGGAAAGATGTGATAAAACAAGAAGTTGCCAGGGAGCTTTTAGGTTATCCTGACAACACTAGACAGACTATGACTAGGCAGAATCTGCTCTTGATCGCAGACATTCTGACTGGTCTTAGCCAAGTACGGAAGCATCTCCATATGGGGCTGTCAGAATACGCACTCTGTAGGAGGTGCGAACAAGATGAGACCATCGAGCAAATCCTTTACGATTGCCCGACGCTCTCATTTATTAAAAGATTTGTGTTCGGCAGGAATTGGCAACACCGGCCGATATAAGAGAAGCACCTCTTGACGACGTTGTCAACTACATTAAATTTGTAGACTGGCTAACGACCTAGGAGCTACCTATCTACTTAGGAGGTTGCACAATGGGCCAAATGAGGCTTAAATGCCGTGGGTTAAACTACCCTCCCCACGTTACATATAATAATAATAGGCTAGTACGTAGTTTAAATATATAACATAGGTATTTTTTATGATCTTGATCTTAAGATTCAATAGTTTTTCTCTTTTTTTAGCATCGGCTCATTCAAGAAGTGACAATAGCTCCCCTTTAAGCAGAGACTTATCGTTTAGGGAGAACATAGAAAATCCGAAAAATTTGGGCCAAAACTATGAAGATTACATAAGGGACGTTCCCATAGAGTTGTTTACTGTCAGTAAAATGCTTGTGACGACTACGAATAATATACCAAAACACAAAAATGTGCCACCTGAATGATTTAATTAAGCACATAAAGAATTTATAATTATTATTATTATGTGTTAAAAGACAGTATAAAACATTCGGAAAATCTGGAGCATTGAGATAGAATAAAGAAGAGATGCTATGACGATTATAAAGTGTCCGTACCTTTGCATTGCACTTTTACGACATATGTCAAACTGAAGTTAGTGAAGCTAGTCAGTTTTGGTGAGAATAAATGACATCTTTTTAAATAGCTTCACTTAAATGATATAAAATCATTTTTATTCCATTAGTCAAGTCGCCATTTTCATGCGCTAGTTCAGTGATGATGTAATTATGGTTCCACTGACAATTAAAGTGACAGTAGATTTTTTGAATGCGTTTTGTTCGTTTTGATTACCTAAATTATATCGTTTTTTCACTTTTATAAATATATCCCTAAAGTGAGTAGATAGCATGTATCAAATATACAATCGTTTAGTTACCAATTACATACCTTTAAACTATTTCTTATGACCTGTATACAATATTTTGAAATAAAATAAAAACAGTAAAAACGTATCTGTCAAATTTATTGATGTTTTTGTTAAAAGTTTGGTTAGAATTAAATGTCAGTGGAACCAAAATATCACACTGAACTAGCGCATTACACTTTTCCGTCATTCGAAGTGCGTCCATCTGTCATACCGCAACATAGTTTAATTCAGATATTACTTACTCTGAGGTTTAATTTCGTCTCTATTTTATTCTATCTCGATGATCTGGAGCGACAGACCTATCCCCTTATGTCTCTATTACTCATGCATATCATACTTCCTTTTAAATTTGTTGTTACGTTTCCTACCCTGAGTGTCAATTACACATCATTTTGTTTTTGCGATTAATAGTGAGTGTGTGTTTATAATTTAATTTGCCTTTTATTATGGAGATCCGTGCAAAAAATACACCCATCGAGACTCGATGATTTAAAGTAACGACAGGGGGTAATCGTTGTAGCCAACCCAACAGTTGTAGTTTTAGCGTGAGAATAAGAGAGATCGAAAATAAGTTGTTTGAAAATTTACCAGATTCAAAAGTCCCGCACTTTTTTCGCGCACAAGTAATGCGAAATGATTGAATAAAGGGAAAGGTTTATTGCTAATATTTTTTTATTTTTCAACTTTTGACTGTAGAACGAAACCTATAAAAAATCGTTGGTATTTTACTAAAATTGAATTTGAAGCATTTAAGACTGCATAATATATTTCGTAATCATAGATAAAAGACAAGAACAGTAATGCCCATTCTTATATGGATGTTTTAAAAATAAACAAATTTAAACATTAATATTGCTGATAACCTGTCAGAAAGGAAATGTTGCAGTAGAAATGTAAAGACAACTTGGTATAAAAATATTTAATAGGCTTGGTTACGAAATATCCGGTCTTTAGGTACATTATAAATCATTCATAAATCAATTGAATTAACAATATTTAAAATAATAAATATTTGACAAATAGGAAAAAGAAGTCATTTGTACCTAAATATTATTCTTTAATGCGACCGGTTTGGAAGTTTGAATTTCTTCATCTTCAGGCACACTATAACTTCACTTCGGTATAATTCACTACAACGATCTTGTATTAGTGATGTTTAAACAGCAAATAGTAAAATAATATTACGCTGATCTCGTTCTATCCTCTCTATGTGGCATCTACAATAATTAGGACACCACATTCAAGAATGCTTCTAATAAGATTGTTAAATAATGTTGAAATTGCTTTAGTATCATACATGTGTTTGGTATTTCTTTTAATAAAGCCTAGCATCCGGAAAGCATTACAAATAATGGAATTAATGTGTTCTCGAAAGGACAATTCCATCAAAGATCATCCCTAGATCATTCACGAATGTGGTGTTTTGAAGCACATTACATCGATTTTGTATCGATTTAGAGAAGGGGTTAAAGCTCTAGCGAACTGCATTTGTTGGTATTTAATGAGATGATTCGCCTTGCGTCCATCATTTAATGTCTCTAGATCACCTTGAAGGGAAGTATTGTTATTTGTGACTGAGGAAAATTTTTAAATCATCGGCATAAAGAAGACAATATTTAACAAGTTATAAAATCGTCTCTAAAAAAGAAAAGTTTGATGATTTTCTCATGGATTCCATTATCAGATCTTGACCAAATTTATATGGGTCCACCCCTGAAGTACCCTCTTTCTATAAAAAAATCGGACAACGTGGTAAATAATTATCGCTAACGTACGTTAAAAAAATATATTCCGATGAATTGACAACCTTCTACTTTTTTTGAAGTCTGTTACAAAGGAAATTACGTCAATACTAAAAAGTGATAGGACCAACGTGTGACCCTTGCGCAATGCCTGATGAAACTAATACTTCTCGAGATGTAGATTGAAACTTGTCGGAAGCGATTACTTAGATATGATTTTATCCAATTAAGATAGTTACAAGCAATACCTACCTATTTTTTAACAGTTGTGAAACATCAAAAGCGTTCGAGAGATCGGTTTAAATTGCATTTACCTGGTGGCCAGCTCCCACAGAGGTTATCAGAGAGTCCCGGAAATAACAAAATTAGTAGCGATAGAACACCCCTGTTAAGTGTGACAAAGGATTTTTCCTATTTGTCAATCCGATACTTACATATTTTTATTTTGAAGGTTACTAATTATTCTTGCCAATCTAATGAACTAGTTTACACTATGTAATCGATTTTTTTTTAATGTCAACGAGGGAGGTGTGAAGGGATGGATATGTGTTACAGGTTTATCATCATACAAAGTAAATGGCACCACAAGACGGAGCTTATTTCAAACTAGCAGTGCTGATGGTTAACATATTTTTCAAAAAAAGCCAAGAGTAATTCAAATGAAATTTTGCACATTTACTTAAAACAGTTACCCTCCTTTTTTCTGTGGAAATAAAAATCCCAACTTTCCAGAGTACGGATACTTTTTTGTATATACTTACCGGTATAATGTTATTCTTGAAGATTTTTTATCTGCACCAGACCCACTGGAACAACTTAGTAGGTAATGCACAACACACTATTATTTTAATTATTAAATTAGTCTATTATAGTTTTTAAATAGAAATTTCTACAAAATACCACAATTCTACAACACAATATAATGACACCTACACATACAAATGTCAAAATTTTATAATATGGCGAAAGTGGTGTTACTTAGATCAGGTGATGCCATCTCCATCCTTTCTCGCCTCCCTGATGCCAACAAACTGTGTACATTTTACTTACCGTAAATACTCACAACCCTATAGTTCGTTGACGAGTAAATATTTTTTAGTCACAAGAAATGCGTACAAATTATTGAATTATTTTTTATACTTTTGTGTCATTTTACTATTTAAATAGAAATTAAACAAATTTTTGATATTTTATTTTTATAATTTTAAAAATCGCATTTTTTCTGCGACGGGAAGAAAGTTTTGACATTTGATCTTTCTTGTCAGGTAACAAAATGTCTCTTTTTATAATTACTTATTTCCCGGGAAAAGAAGTAAGTACTTTTTTCCCGGGGAAAAAGTGAGTACTTTCTTCCCGGATATATATACACATAAGTAAAGGCAGATATTTTAGAATATTTTTTCAAATTTAAGTCGTTTTTCCCGTCACAGAAAAAAAATAATGTATTATACACGGAAAAAATATTAGATTTTAGCTCCCGATTTTTTTTTGTCTCCATTCGCTTCAGGAGACAACACAACCTCGAGCTAAATTACTTTTTTCCTTGTATAATAAATAACTATTTTTTGTTTCAACACCCTAATCACTTGACCGGAGCATTTTATTTAATTTGGAGCATCGGATAGTATTTATGTACGACAAAAAACATTATATAAAAAACGTGACCCAAGGAAAACTTGATGACATGGGGGCTTTGGGAATTAATAACGTGGATGTTAAAAATGCTCGGGCAGGTCTATTTAGTTTGGAGGGGGCACTTATTTTATTGCAGCATCGTCACTTTAACCAATGGGGTGAACAACCCCTACAATTTAAATAGGGAAAGTGACATGGATGACACATCATTGAAAAGATAAATTGATGGAGAATTCGGCAATAAGACTTTTTTGCTTTACTTTTGATTTTAGCGCCGACTAGCTTGATAAAAAAATTTACGTATTGTTAAGTGTGACGCTTCATTTGAAAACTAATTTTATTACTAGTTCAAGTGTCTACATATTACACTTGCAACAATGTCTAGAGTAAAGTTGAAGTTTTAAATAATCTAATGGATCAATAGATTTAATATTATTAGTCAAATTTTCAGTAATTGAGCAATTATACCGATTAAATGTTTCTGAATCAATATAATTCGTAACGGATTTAGAATTTTGTTTGTTTTTTAATTTATTGAACACACAGTATAAGAGAGGTCTTATTCAACTATAATGGAAAATAAAACGGCATTATTTGGAGCTGAAAACTATAATTCACGTTAAAAAAACATTATTAATAGACCTTTGACACTAAAGAAGTTTTCAACAACATATTATATACAATACAGTAACTAAAGTTATAATAATAAATACTGCTAACTCAATGAAAAAAGTTGTTAACTTACTATACAATACTAAAACATAATCTAACAAAATTACAAATTTATACAAATTTTTTTAAAAGATATCTAGGCAAAGACAACGATATATATATACAAAAAGAAAAACAATATTTTGGCGACATCATCTAGTGGTTTATAATTTATTCATATCACTTCTCCAATCAAGAGCTTAAAATAAAAATAAATAAATGTTAATTGATTTCATCCTAACCAAATCTGGTTCATAATATATGACTAAAACTTGATGCTATTTCAAAAGAACCAAAAAAATGGCTATTTTAAGTAAATATAGACTATTTTTCTACCATCTATTTTCCTAAGAACGTTCTTCTCTTATGGACATTTAAAAATAAAACTTTCTGGTTAAAAATATTCTATAAAATATTTAAAATTAAGTCATGTTTCAATTTCCAAATAATACTAGGAACAATTTTGGTTATCAATCGTTTTAACAGTATACAATGAGTATCAAAACCCAAGATCCACCAGCACCTTTTTAGATCTATGATGGAATTACGTTGCTAAGTAGAATAAGAACATCTTGTATTTGAAAAATGACTAGTAAACATTTTTATACTGTTAAAAAACCAAACCAAATTATTTGAAAGCAATTTATTAAAGAATCAAAACACCCAAGCTCAACTCAAGAACTGTGTTAAATGTCGAATATGAGAAGAAGGTATTTAGTATATTCTCAAGCTCTGTAATACATTTATTATGTTTTTGAATGTTGTAAGTTGTAATGTTAATTTACAAATTCAATAATAACAAAGTGTTGTAGAATAAGCACTCAAATTTTGTCTAATTTTTAACACGTTAAGCACAGGTGTACACATACTGGGGGTCTCCCAGACCCGCCGTTTATTTTGTCAAAATCAATAGAAATAAATTTGAAGTTTATGGTAAAATCTTGTTTTATGATGATTCTTACAAAGAAAATCAAATTATGTTTAAGGCAGAGCAACACTAGAAGCAATGTTGAAATGGCAGAATAAGATATGTACCAATGCTTAGTTTAAAGAAAAATAAATAAATACCAATAACGTTGAAAAACCTTCAATGATTTAATATTACAACGAATACAAATCTTATAAAGTTTTTCGCCGACCAATTAAAAGCATCTTATTCAAAAAAGTAACAAAGAATAAAATCACTATCATTGAGTTCAAAACAACTTTAAAGTTATTGGAAACTGTATTACAGTGTCAAATATTACTCGTGATGAGATACAATATCACCGGCTTCAAGAAGTAAAAAAACAGACATGAAAATGGCACAATGCAACCAACATATGTGCCAAAAACCATTGTGTAACCTGTTTTTTTTAGCAACATAAAGATACTTTAAAGTGATAGTTTTTATACCTTATTTAGATCTCGTTTTTTTATTCTTTATTTTGTTCATATTTTGTACTCTCATAAAAACCATGTAAGTAAAAATATTTTTCAGATCACACTAAATTGTATAAAACTGTTGAATTAGAAGAACATTTATATAACATATTTTGACAATTTTTTTTATTATTTTCAATCAGAAAATTCCCTTATATCCATGGGCTTTCAGTATCACATAATTAAATGTATAGACGTGTTATGAGGCGACATTGATGCCTCGCAGGCCTAGTGCCACAATTCGTGAAGTATCAGTGTAATACCATCCAGGGCTTAACGTGTTTAACAATTTGTGAGGATTGTCACCTGTAAAAAGTTTTATCACAACACTCTGTATGCTGGTAGACTAAACAAAAATATTACAAAAAATAATAGAAAAAAAAATCCAATTTAAATATTTTTAAGATAAGAAAATATAGTTTTAGGCGAAAAAAGATGATACTTCAGCTTATCAAACATTGGTTTAAATACTATTAAGTTTATATCGTACTAAAACAAATCTCTGAAGGAGAATTACTTCCAAACACCTCTATTGAAACTATATTTTAAGATTTTTTTAGAAATTACATTAATTATTCAATCATTGAAAACAAACTTCTACATTTATGACCGGTGACAGGTGAGTTTTGCGTTACAGTTAATAATTAGGAATGGGCTACACGCGACTATGAGATAATCTTATAAAGATAGATTATGTTAATATAATAATATGGCCCTATAGTTTATCAATTAAATTTGAATATCCGACCACTACTTGAATATTTCCGAATTGGTTGTGATGTATCAAGGCTCTATTTAGGTTTGTTTACTTCTGTGAACTGACGTTTAACAAAACCACTAATCTCTCGATTTTGTTATGTTTATTGTAAATTATATTAAGTGAATAATAATTTTGTTTTTACTGATTACTATGGCCTTTTTAAAAACACAAAGTGATAATTCGTCGTTAACAAGACGAACAGGCGTATCTCAAAATTACAAGATTTGAGAAATTACAGTTTAAAGATATTTATTAACTTCCAATCTGGATTTTTTAACTTTAAAAATTGCTTAAAAAATGCTAATATAAATATAATGTATATAAATATATATAAATTCCGAAAACGCCTTTTAATGGACTTAATCTAGGAATTTTTGAGATACCCCCCTTTGTCATGTTAGTGACGAATTTACAAGTAGTAATACAGTTTTATGTTAACGGCATTCACGAAATCAAATGATTGTATAAAAAAAAACGAAATAAAAGGGGTAAAAGAATTGCACATTGAATATTCTTTTGATGAGTAAAGCTACCAGTCATGACTTCAATTTGTCATAAAAGTAGGTACATAAAGTCTTTCAATCAGAAAATGCTTTATTTTATTTAAATAATTATGCGTAATCTAATATGTAAAATTAAGTAATGTAGCATTTGTTTTTTCAACAATACTATCCTTTTACTAATTATGTTTCTATAATTATTTTACTTTTAAATCACTGAAGAGTTGAGATTTATAATGTAAACAAGCCAAGTGACGTCTCAATATTAAAAGCTAACTAAAATGCGTTTATGCGCGAATTTAAAATTCAACAATTTTATAATCCTTTTAGAGAGAATTATTTTTTTAAACTGAATGGATCTATATAAATGTATATTTCTAATTTAATCATTTGAAAGTCGCGTGTAGCTGATTAGCATTATTTACTATTTATGACGTTTTTACATTGATAATGCAGATTCCATATTTACAATTTATCACAATATACAGGGTGATTGAAAATAAGTACGGTCATTTCTGACATGGCTAATTGGTGGCGATATTGAGACGATAGTTTTTTGACAAGTTATCAAAAATTATTATAATCATATTTATGTTTATATCATATACATTTAGCTTTTTATATTATTGTAATAGAGAAAAGGAGTGAAAAACTAAGTTGCTGGATGTTTTGTAAAGAAACAGAACAGTAAAGGCTAATGTTGATAAGGTCAGTCTTTTGAGTATAAAAATTTGTATAGTAAGGAAAAATTCTTAGCAAACCAACTACAGATATTTCACCAACTGAGATTTAATCACTGATTTTAGAAAATGATTCACCAGAGTTACTGAAAAGCCACGGAATCACAAAATTTCTTGTTTAGTGACAATAATACAAAAACAAGACTGGAATAGGGAAACGAACCGTCGTGAATTTTTTAAGGGATGAGATTTTGAAAAATATTCTTGTAAAAAGAAAAACATATTAATAAAGCACCTGTATTACATACTTATTTTTGAATCATTCTGCATAAGGTGTTTTTTGGTGAGGAAAGGGGTGTGTGGTAGATTTTCAATATCTAGACAGTGTAAAAAGCTTTTGGACATTCTCTAAATATATTTTTACAAAAAAATTGGATTAACTACAATAGTTCCTAATAATAATAATAATAATAATAATAACAATTTCTAAGCAATATATCCAATTACGTGTAAAAAATATCTCTTTCGGTATTTAAGATGTAGAGATCAAACGCATTGACACAGTATTTCCAGTTTTTTTTTTTTTCACAAATTATTTGAGCAAGTCTCTACATGCACAAGTTCGAAAACATGAATAATTTTTTTCTGCCTCTCTCATTTCACAATACAAGTTTTTAGCTACATTTTTTTATATAAGTAAGCGTATTACCAAACATTTTTGGTACAAATTAGTCTTTTAATTTTGTTAATGTCTAGTGTGTAAAACTATTTTAAATATTAAAATTAGTAATTTATGTCAGACCCTCCCAAAAGAAAAGAATTCTTATACAATTAATTGAAATTTTGATTCGTTTTAAAAAATATATTGTGGTAACATATTATAATAATAGTATAAAGGACGGAACCAAAATTAAGATAATTAATTTTTTTTTAATTTTTAAATATTAATGACGTTTTTCTCATGTGGTGCTGTTTTACTTACCGATGACGAAAACCCATAGTTCTCAGAAAGTATAATACAATCACAGAGATAGAATGAAGTCAATCATTTTGTATTTGAAGATTGACACAATGAAATGAAAATGGTTTTGTGTCATTTAAATAAAGCCTTTTATAACAAAATAACATTTATTTTCACCAAAGCTGACTAGCTCCACTATCTCAAATTTGACACATAACGTAAAATAGTAATGCAAAGGTGCGGTCATTTTTAGTATCGTCATAACGCCTCTTTTTATTCTATCGCAATGAATGCAATAAAATGACCCCATTCATGCTGACCGCCATGATAAACTGGATTATGTGTTGACTACACTGATTTTTATTTTGGTGATCTGTAATAGATGAACACTGACAATCTGCACTGAATAATTTCTAAACTTTGACAAACCTTTTTGGATTGTCTAGTTTTGTTCAATTAGGGCCAGTTTTGTACATTTTTTCGATATTGAAATGTTATTTTCAGTAATTAAAATTAGTTTCAAATTACAACAATCATAGACTATTGTAGATTATTAATCGGTTATTACAGACAAAGCTTATACCTCTGGACCTTAAGAAGGATATGCAAAGCAGCCTTCAACTGATCTACTGGTTCTGCCAAACAGTGGTAAAACCCATGGTTATGTATGGCTCTGTCATCTGGTGGGATTTCAACAAAAAGCCAGGGCAAAGCTGGCTGGAATCTAGAGACAAACGAGTCACTCAATCACTGTGGCATTGTCAACCACACTGACTGAAGCAATGGAGACCATTCTGGACCTAACCCCTCTCCACATTTTGCTGGAAAGAGGCCACGATGGTCCCCTATAGACTTCTGAAGCTGGGTAGTCAATGCAATAAATGAAGAACTAAGATGGAAAAAAACGGAGCTGATACGTGAAATTAATAACTACCACATTCTCAGCATGGTTTCAGACTCGCTAGTTCCCGACAGCACCTTCTCCCAGGCGGACTATGCACTGTACACAGACGGCTCCAAATCTGAAAAAGCAGTAGAAGCGGGAATTTTCGGCCAGAAACCAAGAGTTGACATCAATAAACCAGGCAGAAATGATTGTGTCTCGGTGCCAAAGTTACTTTGATCTGGGTTCCAGGGCACAGCGGTGTAAAAGGCAATACCGTAACCTTACGCTGATCCTGTCTTGTCAGTAGTGCCACCTTAAAACTCAGTTATCTTGACGACCAGTATATAGGAGGTCAATTTTTTTAAAGATGCTGTATCTAGGGTTTCTAATATACAAAAAATTGGCATTGTCATATATTATGGTAATTGTAGGAATCATAAGAGAAATTCCTGAGTAAATCATGCGATTAAGTTTAGTAACTTTATTGAGATACTAGCTGGCACAATAAATAGTGGAACTATGGCGTTTGAAATGTTCCACTCAATGAGGCAATATCAGATATGCTTTTCAGTGAGAATTAAGAAAAAATTAAGATTTACACAGGAGTTTCCAGTTTCCATTGGCTTAAATGGCCTTTTAATTGTTCATGAGAAATCTGAAGGAATATTTAAAAATGTTAAAAACTAAAACAAAAAATAGATGGGCACTTAGCCGGACTCATTTTCATGGAAAACATGAAATAAACATTAGAATTTTATTGATGAAGTAAAATCTAAAATTGTAGTTTTTTTTTTGAGAAAGCCTGCACTAAAGGAATTATATGGAATTTTCTATTTAAAATTAATACAAGTTGTGATTATGTTTGGAAGAACTATGCATATAAAAAAGGAATATTTTTTTTTGTTAAAAGATGGTAAAAATTATATTATAGTTATGTACTAAATAAATATATACATTTTTTTAAAGTTCTGATCAATATTATTGTTTGACAAACAACAAATTCTTTTAAATAAAACACGGTTTATCAATGGATCTAAATCTAATATTTCTATCTTAAAATAATAAATTCACTGAATAATCAGTATTGAATTGATTATAATATGCATTATGACTAACTAACTTTTAATTATTGTAATAATTGTAGAAAATCTAGGAAATTGTTTTAATAATAGTCACAAATGGATTAAATTTGATCAAGTTTTTTACTTTTATAGAAGTCTGTTAACATAAACTCAAACATACAGGTACGAAAATTTAAAAACGGGAACTATTCCTTACAGTATATTGAACAAGATATAATAGGAGTATATGATACCCTCGTTGAGCATCAATTTGTGTCTAAAGAATGTAACGAAGCGAGTAGCAGTCTGTCTGTTATGTACCTGTTCTATTATAAACCTTGTTCAATTCCTTGTAAGGTAAAGTTCGTTTCATAAAAGAAAAGTACAAAGACGTCGTAGAAGACGACATGTGGAGAAACCAAATTTTAACTTGTCTATGACGCTTTTAGCAACGACAGCGCCAATGGTTCGATGCGATCTTTTTCCGGTCATTCATAAATTAAAATAAATCATTTTTAGACGTTAGTATTGTGTTTTCTTTAATATTTTTAATAATTAAATGATACACTAAGACTTGAAGTAAGGGATTTTTTTTACATTTTCAGTTTTTTTGCATGAAAAATGACGATTGATCAACACTATTTCATTTATTTAAGCAATCGAATTAATAAAAAGAATTGAATATGATAATTTAAAAATTGTTTTTTGGAACAATTTGTGCTTTGTTTTGATGCAAGAAACGTTAAAAATTGAAAAATTGCAGTTTTCAATTGTTCTTGGTTTCCAAACCAATTAACTATCTCACACTCTAAGTTGGCATGGTAGTTTGTTGAAACCAGTAGTTCATCAAGGAGAAACCAAAAAGTATAATTAATCATATGGATGGTGTTTTATCTATAAAAATAAAGTTGGTGTATTTTTTTTAATCATTTTAAACATCTTGAAAAACCTCCTTGCATATATTTTCAGAATTTAAGCTAGCATACTTTTTGAAAAATGTCTAATCCGATCTATCAAGAGCCCCCTGTATAATAGTTTATTTTATGGGTTTCAAATGAGTTCAGAAGGATTCTAACACAACTATAATTGATTATTTAAAAAAAAAAATTATTCTTGTTCTTACAGAGTATTTTTGACCAATTTGACAACGATAAGCCACTGATTTAAATTCCCTCCATCAAATTTACAATTAGGCGACACTCTCGCTCCTATTACTGTGACGTAGCTGTACTTTTACTATTGAAACGGAGTCTCCGTTTATAAAATTTAATTACCCATTTATTGCTAAATAATTGGTACATTTTTGTCACGCCAGTAAGCCATTTCTTTAAATAATATATGAATAATATCGATTCAATATACAGGGTATATAATTAATAATTGCCCATATGGTAACTGGAGAATCCAAAATTTGACAATTAAAAAACTTAGATAAAATATACCTCCTAACAGATATTTAAAAATTATTTTTGCCCACCGTTATGATACCTATTTTGTTTCATACCTGGCTAAAATGTTATGCATACTAGGCATTTTAAATTAATGTAGAAGATATTTACTCTCTATTATCAGAAGCATACAGTAGAAGTAGACTTGTTTCCACTCTCTACATTCTACGCCACTATCGTAATCGTAATAATGACATATTTTTTGATTCATCATTATTTTTTAAGTAAATATTGTCCTATTGCCTCATTGCGATAGAGTCGGTGGTTTTCAATAAATTTGCACTCAAAGGTATAAAGTTACTAAATAATTTAATTTTATTGCGTCTCATAAGAGTTTTCTCGATTTCACTAAGCTAAACTTTTTATCAAGCTTGTGCAAAAAGTGTTGGAATGTATCATCATTGTGCAAAAAAACATTTTTAAATAAAGCACCGAGTATCTCAGTTAGGAGGAATATTTTACATAAGTGTTTTAGGTTAATTCTTCATATTTTGGGCCAAGGATTATCCAGTTACCCTATATACAATTATTAATGATACCTTTTGTATACACTTTTTAAATAGAAGTAATAAGCAAATGTAAGTAGATGTTCCCATTATTTTTCGAGAAAAACTCTTATAGTGTCTTTGGTTTTCTTGTTTCAGTCTGAAATCACCTGAATATCTGTATACCAGTATCAAATAATTTTCCTTTATTTAACCTTAACATTAAAAAAAGACAATTTCAAACTACATCTAAAAAACCGTCTCGTACTTGAGCGTTTGAGCATATACATACAAAAACTATGAAATTAAACAACCTACAACCTACATAAGGTGCCCAAAATGTCTGACATTAGTGTTTTACTATATGTAAATTTCAAAGAGACTTATTAGAGCCAAAGAGTCTTATTACGCACAAATTTCTTGTTTCATTGTTAGCATTGTGTCATTCAAACAGAGAGATCTAATTTCATAAATTACTCTTTTAATAACTCCATAGGAAAAAATCTAGAGGTGTAATCTATTTGAATTTTTTTTATAAATATAATTATCTACAATATTGTGAAGCCACGCCATTATTTCAAGAGTGAAACGTCTACCAAAATATTAAATGTGATAACATGTTAAAGTTAGATTTAATAGTTGAGCAACAAATAAATAATTCAAGTTTTGGGGTCACATTTTAGGGGTAGTCTGACAAAATTTAAATTTGATGGTACAGCCTAAAAGACATCTAGGTACAAATCATGTTTTCGTTTTCATAAGTAGCATAACTGGCATATTGGCTGAATAAAAAATCAGTGCCACTCTATGAATCTATCATTTTTTTTTGTAACTATTTGGTAAATATTTCTAGAAAATATTAATTAGCCCATGAATTTGATTTTTTTTTTGTTGAAGAGCCTGCAATGACTATAAAAATAAAATTATTTTGTAATTAAAATTAGTGTCAAATCACGGTTGTTATAACCAAGTTGAGATATTTTTTTAAGTAACTTAGGAGTTTTAATTGATCCAAAAACTTGTCAATTAGTGTGGACTGGCATACAAAACAAGCATTCCATTCAATCTGCATCTATGTATTATAGAGTTCACTTATTATTTGAATGAAAAATTATCAGCTTGTAAAATCAATTGTTAAAAATCAGTCATTTCACATTCAAAATTAGTATTAGAATGTATTTTTCAAAATATATTGCTGTTCATTCATTACATTACTGAACAAAATTTAAGTAATTAAATGCGCAAATTAATTAGACAATTTTTTGTCTAGAGTTATCGATTTCTAAAACTAACAAGAATAAGAAAAATGTGAAAAAGAAAGATACCTCTTGAACTAGATTAATGTAGATCGAAGAAATTTGGTAGATTGTTACTAAAATGAATGAATGAAGATAAAAAAATAAAAGGTGTAAGGAAATTCGTTGTTATCGTCTAACAATAATATCGATCATTACTTACTAAACAGAACTCGGTGGAAAACTTGTAGAACTGTTGGAATGTGCCAGACTGAGCATCGACCCCGATAAGCTGGCATCATCCACGTCATAACTGTTGCGAGACATATCGTTTATTGCTAGTGACATCTCTGCTATTGCTAATGCACTGAAATAATAAAAAAAAATGCTTTAAAAAATGTGAATTTAAATATTTTTGTAAAAAAAATTATTGTTCCTACAAGTATTTTCAAAACAATTTGTTATAGTCTTCTTTTAAATTTAACAGATATTTATTTTTAAGAGGGTTTCTTGTATTATTGCCAGTCAATAAGTTCAAAATATACAATCCCTCCGAAGAGACTATACTGCAACAGTGTAAACAATGGTGTGCTGCTGATATTATAATATTGATATTTGCCAGAACCACAATAAGGAATTATTGCTTTAGATATATCCAAATTCATAAATGTTACAAAAAAGTATTATATACCAATTTTTAATTAATTTTAAAAAAATTTAAAATAAAAATGACATCTTCCTTATAGATCATTATTTTGACATTGCATGATACACACCATTTTATTAAAATAATTAGGTACTGAAGTTATTGTGTTATCAGATAAGGAAATTAAATTACGTTATACATTTCTTAATCAAAATGAGTTGAGAAAGTTCAGTTTTATATTAGAGCCACAGAGATATAAATTTTGTATCTGAATGTATTAAAAACGTCGATATCTGGACAGTTAAAAGTTAAACTTTTCTCTATACTCCCGGACAATATTAATGCACCACTATAATTGATTGTGGAATATTCTCCCATTCTTCAATAGCGGCCCCTCTATGAGTTGGTTGCAGAGATAACAGGAGATGTAACTTCAAACAAATATCGTTCTGTCGTGAAGACATTTTAAGGGACACATATTATCCATTTGTAACGGTTTTATTTTGCCACATTAGAAATATATTAGGAATGAGATTTTATCAGTCTTATATATCTTAAATAATTGTAAAAAATCAAATATCAGACCTTTTGGATTTAGAAATATGTGTGAATTGAGGCGTTATTTATAAAGGAGTTCTGTTATCATACCAGGAGGTTTATGTTTATTTTCATCTTCTTCTTTTTTGGATTTTTCAACTTTGTTCTAATTACCTTGTCACAATTCTTCTTTTCTGGCTCCCCTTCACAGAAGTTGGTAGACTACCTCAGCAACACCAAAAATCTGCTTACCAGTACCTACAATATTTTTAAAATTCAAAATCACTAGATTTTGGTGAGAAATTGAATGAGGAAAAAAAAAAACTGATTCTCTTATCTTTGGACTTTTTGATGTGAATAGTCACATTGTCGCAATTTGCGGATATTTCCAAAAATCTTTGAATTTTTAAATATATTTTACTTCGGTTTGTCATACAAACGAAGAATCTCTTTATGAGGATGTTTGTTTAAAAATTTAAAAGATAAAAGATATTATTTCTCACCTTTTAAGGTCATCCACCAGCCAAGGTAGGTCAAACTAACAATTTCTGCTATTTTCTTTATTTAATATTCCTTATATTAGAGTGCTAACAATGTATTTTCTCTTTGTAGACCTTTTTTTTTTCTTTGGTTACGATTTGTACCTTTACTCGCTGAATATATCTACTCGGCTCCAAGCCTATGGTAAAAGGTATTTTGGACTCCTGCATGTACACCTGCTTTTATATATCCATCCCGCAGTACCCACCGCTTTAAGATCCTGAAGGATACTCCTGCATGTACACGAAGCTACTACCTACCTGCTTCGATCTGGGACCTACTCTGGCCACGTGAATGCAGAACTTCCAGGACCAAACACACACAGATAAGCTTGCATGCCTCTCATAAATATATAATGGTGTCTATTTTGCTATTCAATGATTAACTTAGGGATAGTAGGCTATATCTTCCTGTAGTCATATTAAAGGTTATCGAACAACTTTTTCAACCACGTCTTTGTTCTCTGGGGTTGGGACAAACAGATAAAGGGACAACACAAGTAAATTAACTCCTTTTTATGTATTAATTTGGTTGATACCCTCTGCTTTAAGCAATAATTTGCTTCCGGAAACAGGCCGGGAAAACTGTAAAAAGTTATAATTGTAAATATTAAGTATACATAATTTAATCGCATGACTTACGATATGATGTAAACCATACAGTATATATACTATATCGGTAAAATTTATAATATTCTTTAAATAAGTGCATTTCATTTTTTTTTATTCATAAAACATAACCTATACATTCTTCTTTTTCTAAAATATTACAAAGTTAATTAATCATTGATATAAAATACACTGGACTGAGAAAATCTCTACCTCTTATATGATCTAATCTTAGCAAGTTATCAGCCACCGACCTTGTATATATATATTATTGAAAAAGGATTTGAAATTGGTTTCTTTTTTTTTCTCTTGTACATAATTATCAACTCTTCATAAATAAAGGAATCCTATACAGCTGTACAATCAGATAATTATTGTTTTAATAGAACCCCGTAACTTCTTGGTAATAGATTCCCACTGGAAATCACCTCCAGCGAGGAATCTATGTAACAAAAATTGGCGCCCAACGTGGGGCCCGAACCCACGACCCTGAGATTAAGAGTCTCATGCTCTACCGACTCGGTAGTATAGTGGTCAGTATCCCCGCCTGTCACGCGGGAGACCGGGGTTCGATTCCCCGCCGTGGAGCCAAATTTTTGTTACATAGATTCCTCGCTGGAGGTGATTTCCAGTGGGAATCTATTACCAAGAAGTTACGGGGTTCTATTAAAACAATAATTATCTGATTGTACAGCTGTATAGGATTCCTTTATTTATGAAGAGTTGATAATTATGTACAAGAGAAAAAAAAAGAAACCAATTTCAAATCCTTTTTCAATAATATATATATACAAGGTCGGTGGCTGATAACTTGCTAAGATTAGATCATATAAGAGGTAGAGATTTTCTCAGTCCAGTGTATTTTATATCAATGATTAATTAACTTTGTAATATTTTAGAAAAAGAAGAATGTATAGGTTATGTTTTATGAATAAAAAAAAATGAAATGCACTTATTTAAAGAATATTATAAATTTTACCGATATAGTATATATACTGTATGGTTTACATCATATCGTAAGTCATGCGATTAAATTATGTATACTTAATATTTACAATTATAACTTTTTACAGTTTTCCCGGCCTGTTTCCGGAAGCAAATTATTGCTTAAAGCAGAGGGTATCAACCAAATTAATACATAAAAAGGAGTTAATTTACTTGTGTTGTCCCTTTATCTGTTTGTCCCAACCCCAGAGAACAAAGACGTGGTTGAAAAAGTTGTTCGATAACCTTTAATATGACTACAGGAAGATATAGCCTACTATCCCTAAGTTAATCATTGAATAGCAAAATAGACACGATTATATATTTATGAGAGGCATGCAAGCTTATCTGTGTGTGTTTGGTCCTGGAAGTTCTGCATTCACGTGGCCAGAGTAGGTCCCAGATCGAAGCAGGTAGGTAGTAGCTTTGTGTACATGCAGGAGTATCCTTCAGGATCTTAAAGCGGTGGGTACTGCGGGATGGATATATAAAAGCAGGTGTACATGCAGGAGTCCAAAATACCTTTTACCATAGGCTTGGAGCCGAGTAGATATATTCAGCGAGTAAAGGTACAAATCGTAACCAAAGAAAAAAAAAAGGTCTACAAAGAGAAAATACATTGTTAGCACTCTAATATAAGGAATATTAAATAAAGAAAATAGCAGAAATTGTTAGTTTGACCTACCTTGGCTGGTGGATGACCTTAAAAGGTGAGAAATAATATCTTTTATCTTTTAAATTTTTAAACAAACATCCTCATAAAGAGATTCTTCGTTTGTATGACAAACCGAAGTAAAATATATTTAAAAATTCAAAGATTTTTGGAAATATCCGCAAATTGCGACAATGTGACTATTCACATCAAAAAGTCCAAAGATAAGAGAATCAGTTTTTTTTTTCCTCATTCAATTTCTCACCAAAATCTAGTGATTTTGAATTTTAAAAATATTGTAGGTACTGGTAAGCAGATTTTTGGTGTTGCTGAGGTAGTCTACCAACTTCTGTGAAGGGGAGCCAGAAAAGAAGAATTGTGACAAGGTAATTAGAACAAAGTTGAAAAATCCAAAAAAGAAGAAGATGAAAATAAACATAAACCTCCTGGTATGATAACAGAACTCCTTTATAAATAACGCCTCAATTCACACATATTTCTAAATCCAAAAGGTCTGATATTTGATTTTTTACAATTATTTAAGATATATAAGACTGATAAAATCTCATTCCTAATATATTTCTAATGTGGCAAAATAAAACCGTTACACATTGTTGTCATGCCTATTTTATTATTCTAGTTTTGTTTACAAAATTATTTACATATCTTGCTAAAATAATTCAACCTATTTTATTTCAACTGAACCCAAAAAAAATTTAATCATTGGTTATATAAAATTTAACTAAATTAGGTGTAATTTCACTAAATTATATATAGTAATTTTCAATAAATTTCTAAACCTAGTTAATGTTAAATTGGATATAAAGTATTTTGTACTAGATGTGGCAACATGGCTTGCATTTTGTACGTTATTTATTATGGGTATACACTTATATTAATTGATAAAAATGTTTTGAACAACTGTCAAATCCTTCTGTTTATCCCTTCCTATACCTCACATGTCTTTTCATTCCTGATCTACAACTAGACCATATAGATGTCGGCGTCACGAATATTATATTTTATCCTGTTATCTCTGGTTGGTTATGATTAGCAACACGGTGTCTACGACTTTGAATCTTTTTTGGAGATAGTCTCATAGATGTTCTATAGGATTCATGTCTGGTAGCCACTCTAGTAAGGGGATATTAACATAATTTAGGTAGCCAATAACCTGTGTAGCCGCGTGGAGACGAGCATTGGTCTGAATAATTAGGATAACAAACGAAGCAAAAGGGATTACATGTTCGACAATAATGGTGTCGTAAGTAATATTGAGCATTCATAGACTTCTTACTTATAGGGACCAAGTTCATATGAGCATCGAAGCAAATTCCCCCCAAAACATTTAAGAGCCACCACCGAAAGGTACTTTAGGAGATATTGCAGCTGGTAAACCTTTCTCCTCGCCTCTGAGAGCACGTTGTCTTATAAAACGATCATGAATTTGATTAGTGCAACGTTTTCGCCTTTACCCTGGTCTTCGATGGTATGAGCCCATTTCATTATGTCATCTCACTATGCGACTGATGCTGGAATGATGTTTTCCTAATAAACCTGCAACATTTTGCATTGAATATCCTTCATCCAGGAGAGTCGATGCTCGCACTGTCACCTTCATTGACACATTTCTTTGGCGGTTCATTTTCCTTACTTGATTTACTCGCAAATGGACTTTCAAACATGTATGTGACAAAAACAATCACAATCAAAAGCTTGCTTCTCACAGACACTGCTTTAATCAGCACTTTTTAAGAAAATGTTAACACAGTTTTAGTTAAACGAGGTTTAATACGAATTACTGTCAAAACAAGGTTATGTGATACTATAGTTAGCTTAAATAACAACTGTCACTGTCAAATAAAGTCATGACTTATTTGTCGCAAAGTTATCAATAAAATAAAGAATATCGAAAAGAATATGAGTGGTGCGTTAATTTTGTCGAGGAGTTTACTTTAAGTTAGCAACTGAAAAATAAAAATATTTTGTACTCTTAACCATCAATGTGTTTGTGGCAAAGACAGGATATTTAATTTGTTATGATGGTCTTTATAATTACATATTTCAATCTTTCCCAAAATCAATTATCAACTTGTTAAAAGTTTTTTTTTTTATTGGATATAAACAATGTTTTTTTCGTTTTCTATACTACTGTTACGTTTGTTTATTGTAAACAACAGTTTATTTGTCAATAAATTATTTGAACACCTATTTATTTTAAAACAATACTATTCTAATTTATATATTTCGAATGTCTTTAAATTGTTCACTATTTATCTTCACAACTGTTTGTATACGACTGACTGACTCCGTGTTCCTCCGCCAATATTTATATACACATTGAAAATTCTGGTGAATTCCAGAATGCTCCCCGCCAAAACTAGGAACATTAGCAAGTTCTATCTGCAATGTACTCGAAAGCGCCTTCGCCATAGTAGTCACATATGCTTGGTCTTAAGGGATTTAATTATGATATGATAATCGGACAAGTTGAGCCTCAAAGGCCAAATAAAAGAGAGGGACTTGGAGGATTAGAGCATGACTGAATAATGAAATGGCTCGCATGACTGAATAATGAAATGGCTCGCATTAGACTACCATTGTATTTAGATAAGATAGTAGAACAACCTTATGGACGTTTTATTGGAGGCAATACTGTCGAGACATCTGTTAGAACAAATACAGAACTTCATCAAAATGGCCCGAGCGCTAGCGCTTTCTCGATCTATATCTGTAACGTGTAACCCACCCTTTATCCCCACGGCACTTTGTGCATCCTCCTAAGATGATAGGCACCTCCTAGCTCGTGAGCCAGCCTAAAGATTTAATGTAGTTGACAACGTCGTCAAGAGGTGCTTCTCTTATATCGGCCGGTGTTAGCCGATACTCGCCGAACACAAATCTACTAATAAATGAGAGCGTCGAGCAATCGTAAAGGATATGCTTATCTCATCTTCTTGTTCGCACACTCTGCAGAGTGCGGATTCCGACAGCCCCATGATATGGAGATGCTTCTGTACTTGGCAATTACCAGTCATAATGCCTGTGACTAGGCGCAGATTCTGTCTAGTCATAATCAAGTATTTGTTTGCTGCAGTGTTGTCAGGATAACTTAAGAGCTCCCTGGCAACTCTGCAGTTTGTTTCATCCCATCTTTCCTTGAATTTCACAAGGGAATGTTGTTTAATTAGGTCTGTCACTACCGATTTTGTCAGGCCAATAGAAGGGCCAAGTCCAAAAAGTATTTGGTTGGCTGCTTTCTTGGCTAGTGAATCAGCAAGACGGTTTCCTTTCGATGTGCCCTCTCCTTTAATCCATCTTAAGGTGACCACATTGTTGATGGATACTTCGGCCAAAGCTCCGTGACATTTTAGTACTAACCCTGAGTAAATTCGTGGTCTGTTCAGGGTGAGTAGTGCTTGTCTGCTATCTTCATAGATGATCATATTCCTTCCAGTGAGCCTCCTCGATCATTGAGTATAGAATTCTATATACATAAAGTTTTCTTAATTTTTAAATTCATTTGGGTAGATTTCCAAATTTAAATTATTGTTTATATTCTCTAAAAGGATAAATCTTAAATAAATGTTCGTCAAGCATATTTAAACTCGTTTATCTCACTTTAAAAACAAATATTCTGAATCGACTTTCAGTCCATCTATTAGTAAATAGAAAAATTACGTTCGTTATTCAGTTTCGACAAACGTTCGATGGCTCGGTAGAAGACGACAAAATTATCAAAGACATGACTTGGACACCACGGAGATTGCTGCCATCTATTGATACTCTCAATTGTCCTCCAAGATAATTTGAATTGGTAATGTTCTACTAGTTGATCTAAATACAATAATACTACTGAAAAATAGTAATCAATCAGATCGCACGTTCGAAAAATGTACTCAATAAATTTACAAAAAATGTCCCTTACTTTTTTATGCTGTGTTTGCAGAGTCACAAAAATTGTATTTTACAAGTTACTTTGTATCAAACGTATACACCAAAGAATTCTTGTATAAAAGTAATAATTTGCAAAATTACAAAATTTCCCGTTTTGATTTCTTCGACTTTCCGTGAAAAATCCAAATTCCAAATATTCGAAAAAGTAGTCTGCCTGATACAACTTTCAAATTTCTGTAGAGACAGAATGAATCGCAACACCAGTATGTATTAAAAAAATTAGGCTTAACAAAAAATCTAACTTACCTAAATCCCAGCCTTATTGACTCTTCATCAAATTCTTCTAATTCTCTTTCTTGCCTTTCATGAAGAATTCTTATTCTTTCACCCCTCTCTTCAATGAACCTCTGGTTTTCAGCAGTCATCTATAAAAATACATTATTCTAGAGTTTAGATTAACTTGACAAAAAAAAAACAACTATTAACAATAAATTAGAAGCTCATGCCTATTTATAATAATCATCTCCCTTCAATGGGGAATTCTATTTTTTTAAGCTTCTTTCATATTTTTTAATTCATTAAACATTTAAAAATGTGTATTAAAAACTCTTCTGTGGTATTTACCTATGAATTTACAATAAATGAATTATGTAAGGTTTTCAAAAAGAAACCTTGATTTTGGTAACTATATATTATTGTAAAATATGCAATATGAATTATTTCATGTATTTGAAAGATTTAGTGAACATTAAATTTTATTTACTTTCTGTTCTAGAAGAGATTTTCTCACAGCGACCCTCTCCTGAAGCTCATTCTTTTCTCTATCCCTCTGTGCTTGAGCTTGCATTTTATTTTTGCTTTGGTACGCGATAAGAATTTCTAATTCATAACGTAACCTTTCCTTCATTTGTTGACATTGAAGCTAAAAAAAAATATATATTCATATTCACCCAATAAAAATATTAAGACCGATAACATTGCTAATATTTTCTTTAAACTTACTTCTTGACTTTCGTCTAGTTTAATACATTGTTTCTGTAACATTTCGGCGATACTTTGTTCATACTGATCACCTAATAAAGCTAATTTTCTCCTCTGTTCTTCTTTCAGCTTCTTTATCACTGCCTTCTGATTTTCTTTGGGAGTATTTAAAAGGATCTGGGCTTTGAGAGCCTTGTACTGCTTTGTTTGCACCTTACAAGTTTCTCTAAACTGTTTGCGGACCAACATTTCCTTTTGCTACAAGAGAAATGACGAGTTAGTAAATTAAATATTGCCAGGATACAAATAAACGATGGGAAAAAATAAACTTACTTTTAAAGATTTAGGCTGTTGTTTAAGTTCAAGTGCATGTTTTTTCCTCATCTCACGTTCAGTCCTCTTCATATATTCAGCTTGATTGGCTAATTCTGTGTCATGTTGATTTTTAACCTAGAGAAGAAATGTTATTTTAATATATTAAATTCATAATAATGAATCTTTTAAAGCATCCTGGCTGTGTTGAAGCACTAACCTGTTCTTCTCTTAAAGCGTGCACAGCCTTTTGTTGGCGATATTCTAGCTCCTGCGTTTGCTCATGATGCCTCAGCAACATGGAATGCGCCTGCTCTAACTGATGTTGTCTTTTATTCAACTCCTGCCTCAAAAGTTCCTGTTCTAACTGGTGATAAGACATCAACTTTTTTCTGCGGAATTTTCGTAATTCTAGTTCAAGGTATTCCTTCTGGCACCTAAGCATGCGCTGTTCTTCCTGCGCATCCACTAACTTTAAGTTGTCTTTGTGAGTCCTGGAACAAAATATGTCTAATTAAAACGGATGCATTAAGGTTTTCTTAGACCTTCATTGATTGTTTTTATGCAAATCAAATAAGATTTAAAAAAAGCATACAATTTTGATTCTTATGTAAAAATTAACTGAAATATACTCAGTACATAATGGGAAACGAAAAATAAAACCAGAATTATTTTCTGGAGGGCGGACCTGTTGTAATAATTGTTGAGAAGTCTACAATTTGCTTTTTGCTTCACTTTTTCTTGTATACCCTTTTAACTTGTTTACATTTTGAATGCTAAATAACTGAAGGAGAAAAAATGATTGACAGATTGATTTTTCTTTGACCAGATGAACTGAAGAAAATGTGATAAGCTAATTTGAAGAATATAGGGCATGAAATCAGTTCCTTCAAGACCGCGCTAATCGTTCTACAGCTTTGTCCAAATCCGGAATAAACCTTGTGACTCCATCCTCTCTGTTCACCTGCTATTACCCGTATGTAATTTTATTTTGTTCAACAAATGAAAAAATACTCAGAAACGTTTTGTCTATTTACGAGGAGCACTGCTAATTTTTTTTTCATAGTTGAAACTATCTAATAATTTGATAAAATTATTTCAAGACAGCATCGATATTTTTCACGACCTTTGCAAAAATCACCATTAACATTGGATGCTTGAATTCTTCAAACCATTTGTAACCCATAGTGCTTCATCCTCAAATAACGAATTAAGTTTTTCCACACATTACTGCAGTGTTAAATCTTATCGAAAATCATAAAATAGATCACTCAAAAATCATGATTCAAAAATTTCCATTTTTCACACAATTAATTAACTTCTGTTGAAATGAAACTGCTTGGTTTAAAATGGAACTGTCAACTGAAATACAAATTAAAAAAATCAAACTATACGAATATGACAATTTCAGAATGCTAGCAATACAAGGAGTATACTTAATTCTGTGAAGCAAAAATGGTAAATGAATATCACAAAATTAAAAACTTACTGTAAAGTCGCATCTCTCTGTCTCTTTGGGGTCGAATCGTCCTGTGACAATTCCCGTTTCCACCTTTCCTTATTCGCTTTGTATTCTTTCTTCCTATGGGCGTCGAAAGCTTTTCTATCCATATCTTGTCGACTAGAAATATCTTTCACCAATTTCTTCTCGCCAGCCAAATTTTGCTTGTGCTTTTTTTCCAATTCTTGTTGGTGTTTTATCTAAAAATGTTCTCGTCAATTTTAATTATTTATTATTAAATTTAAAGATAAGAACAAGGAGAAAACATAATAGGATACATAAACTTGGAACCTCCAAAATGTTTTTCAAAGTTTGGCACAATGACATATTGCATTCTTCAAACATTAAATTATTGCTTATTATTTCGGTATCAACTATATAGTTTATTTGACAATTCAACACAGTTTTTATGGCAAAGGTCTATATTTTTATATAATTCTGCCTATCATTAATTTTCAAATAAACTAATGATCATTTACTCATTCAGTAAATATCTAGATTGCTCAAGAGAAGCATTGGAAGGCCACAAAACAGATGCATAAATGATTTCAAGAAAAAAGAGTGTAGAAACTGACATAAATTGACCTTGAAAAACAAGCTGAAAGGTTTAAGGGGACACCTATGCCTAGGAATAGACGGAGAAAAGATGCCGAAAAAAAATGTTTCAGATTCAATTTATAACTGTACTGAGGTAATGATGATCAAATTAACTTATAATAGAAAATTTTACCTGTAGCCTTTCGAGTTCTTTGCTAAAGTTCTGCAACAAACTTTCATACTCCTTGTCCAATTGATTCTTATGTGCTTCCATTTCCATTTTGCACCTGTCTTCTAATTTCAGCAAGGCACTTTGATGCTCTCGGCGCATCCTCTTGTAGCCTGACATCTGTTCATGCATCTCCTCCTAAAAAAACAGTACATTAATAGTTAAAAAAAAAATACTTATTTAGGACGAAAACTTAAAATAATGTAAGAGTGTGAAATTATACCTGCATGTGTTCTTTCTGTTGCTTGGTAACAATACTGGTCGTTCTGATTGTTGCAAAATTATTGGTACCATGGTCAGAAACTGCCGCCGCGGCAGGATGATTAAGTTGTCTATGTCTTCTTGTTGTACCATCTTCGCCACCTCAAATTAAAAAATTATTTGAAATATCCAAAATATACAATAATTATAAACCTTTATTTTACTTTGGACAATTGGTTAATATTAACCGAAAATATTTCTATATTTATTTGTTTAACAGGTTAAGTGCCACAATGGTAAAGATTTTAACGCCCCCGTGGGGGCCGATCAATGCTTCTTATAAAATAGCAAACCTGTTAGTTACGAATATTATGACCTGTGAGTCCGGGTTGGCCTCTTAAAAGCACAGGCCACAGAGTTTTAAACCATCTGTCTGAGCCCAAAACGCTCCCGTGCATTTTAAATGGGTTCAAGAAGCCAACATGGAGCTACACAATATTTTGTGACGAACTAGCAGGTCATCAAGTACACAGACCTTAATTTAGGAAGGCTATCAGTAACAGTTGCATAGCAACCTTTATCTAGATAGTCTTAGTGCATGCCTTTCTATCATCTGGTTTTATAAATATATCTGGTGGTCCCAAAGGATCCTATTTGGGGCGACTATTTTAATGTATTCATAAGTGACATTTACGAATAATATTTCACAAAAGGCTAAATTAGTGATGACGTAATTTTGGTTCCAATGACAATTACAGTTTTTTTAATAAGTTTTGTTTTTTAGACAAATATATTTCTAGAGTAAGTAGGTAACATCAAGTATATAATCATTTAGTAACCCATTACATACCTTTAAACTACTTTTTATGACCTACAAAGAATATATAATAAAAAAATGAAAACAGTAAGAACGTGTGTCAAATATTGTTAAGTTTGGTTAGACTGTCAGTGGAACCAAAATTACGTCACACTTTTATGGCGCATAGTTTATTTATCTGTCAGACTCTTCAAAGCGATTTGAAATACATAAACTATTATAGTAAGCACAACTAATGGTACGGATTTATAAACAACCAAATGTCATTTCATAAAATTTAACTCCAGACCAAATACTAATAGGTCACCGAGGCTAAAGAACGTGTTTAATTATGGACTTTCATTTCAAAGAATATTTATAAAACAACTTTTTAAAATTAGTACATTTTCTTAGACGAATAAATCATCAGGGTTTGAGATTTTTTTATAATAGAGAGAGGGATCGAAGTATCGTATTTCCGTTATCTTACGTCTTATTATCTTATTTTACGTTTCCACAAAGGATCAATAGAGAGGACGTTACAGTCATAAACTCATAATTGTCAATTATGATAAGATAGGTCATTCTGTTACTAGGGAGCGATATACGTTGTATATTGTACCAGTTAATAGCTATAAATTATATAAATATAATAGAATTTTCAGTTCAAACATTTCAGAGTCAGAAGACACTGTATTTGAAAATGCTCTTTTTCTGTCGAGCCTACTGTTATAAAATAGTTGATAAAGTTGCCTTTTTAATGGTTGTTCTTTTAGTCGATTTTTACAATAGGAAGAACGTACCAGGGATCTATTATTGATTGGAAAATTTCCAAAACGTTTATGGTTCGTACCTGCTGGTAAACTATTGGTACTACTGGATTGACTACTTGCCGATACTCCTACGGAATGGACACTTTGTTCAGAGGTAACTGAATTACTCTTTGAACTATCACCACCAGTATGTTCATCAGGAGTATCGTCCACATCTAAAAAAAAATTCTCATTTGAAAAATAAGAAAATAAAAATATATATAGTTTATCATGCTTGTCAATTAAAAAAAAAAAAAACACGAAATTATATAAAAAAATGCAATTGAACGTTTTTAAGTAAATGCAATAATCAATAGGAATTTTAATTCATAGACAATCATTTTAAGATGCCTAGAAAATTAGCAAGCCGCGCCTGAGCCGAGCTTGTTTGACCAATGAGTCTGCTGTGACCCACAATGGACCAGGAAGCACTCAAAGGTGACCAAAATTCTAAAGTATATGCTTTGAATTTAGCATGTGAAAATTTCAGGGGCCGCTGATTCCAACTCTGATTTTAGAAATTCAAAATGGCCGAGAAAAAAAAGTAAATTGTCCATAAACTTGCATGAAATATTGTACAGAAGGATTTGTTGGGTTGTTCATTTTAAATTTTATATCAGAAATTTAGAATTCAAAATGACTGATACAGAGTGATGCAATGCATGAATAGTATCATATGTGGCTGAAGAAATGAATATCAATAACAAGTGCAGTATTATTGAATTTATTAGTGTCACATCAGAAATTTCTTAATGTTCTAGAACAAAATGGAGTGAGAGGCACCGTACTAAGGGTTTTTGAGAGTTACCTAAGCGAACGAGAAAAAAGGGTAAGGATTAGAGAGAAGTTCAATAAAAATGGTACAAATTGGTATTCCACAAGGTACAGTTCTAGGGCCAATATTATTTATTAAGTTTATAAAAGGTTTGTGATATTAACATACAGGGTAAAGTAGTATCTCACGCTGATGCTACTGTGGTAATATTTAGCGGTAAAGATTGGGAAGCTGTAAAAGTGCAAATAATAGGAATCGAGCAGATCAAAAATTGGCTAGATGTATCAAAACTATCACTAAATATCAACAAAATGAACTATATTGCATTCTATAAAACAATAGCTGGCCAACCCCATTTTAAAAAATGATCATGTCAAAATCTACATTCGGACATTCACGAGACAAAAACAGCAAAATACCTGGGAATAATAGTTGACCAAAATTTAAAATGGGGACCGCACATAACATATGTAGCAAAAAAACTTACGATTTTTGATATATAAATTTTATATATTAAGGCAGTTTCTTAATCGAAAATTACTAATAAAAGTTTAGTAGAATCTATATTATGATATGGAATTATTGCATGGGATGGATTGTACCAAACGATACTTGGGTCATTACAGTCATTCAAAATAAAATTATTAGGATCATTAAAGACCAGATGTACCCCACATCACTATTATATGATATGAACAATATCAACATTAGGTGTCTACATACACACGCACGCACGCACCATATGTTGTTACACTCAAAAACATGAATTAAAAAAAAAACAAATAAATCATGAATAATAAATAGATTTATCAAAACTACTAAACCAAATAGTGAGTTATTTAAGAACTGCCCAAATTATCTAGGACCGAAATGTTACAATTTACTTCCTACTCATATAAAATAAATAAATAAACTCTGCAGAAAACTGTTGAATTCAGCAATGCAAGCAATTATTCATTTCTCAAAATTGGACCAACTTGTATAAACTCTTTTTAGAATAAGATAAATATAAAAAAAAACTATTACTTAATTTAATTAGCCAAGTTTCAGTAAAGGGATAGAATATGAAATATATTTCTTCTCATGGTACATACAGGTGTCCTTCACCTAGGTGCCAGAATTGAAATATAATATATTTAGTTATTATAGTTAAGATACTGATATTTTACAAAATTTGATACTTTTTTTAGACAAATATAAAGTTTTGTGGATTGTTACCATACATTTAGAAGGTATTTATAGTTATAATAAATATATAAATATTTGATTAGCATTGCATGATCGTTTTTATGATACATATCTTATTGTTATATAGCTGTCAACAATCTACTTTAAATTATTTATCAATAAAAGTAATTATTTGTAACTTATGATTACTGATAATTGTTATGAAATTATGCAATTGTAATAATTGTAATTCTAAAAACAAAAATAATATGTGGACAATACTTTTTTCTCAAACTTGCATGAAAGTTATAATGGGTTGCTTAGTACAAATTTTATGATAGAAATTAAAAATAACTTTATAAAATGACTACCAGAAATGGAAATTTTTTCTTTATCTGCTGATGATTCAAAGTTTTATATTGAAAATAAAAAATCTCTAATAAGAAATTCAGCATGCATAGAGTGTACTATATGCATACCGAATTTGTTCACGTAGCTGGATTTAAAAAATTCACTGGTTTTAATCATCCAGCAGAAATAAATAATAGTTTCAACAAGTAATTTCTTTCTCGCGATTTTGAAATTTGCTAGTTGTACCATTTATTACATAAACAGAAGCATACAGTAGAAAAGAAACATTTTAAACTATACTGTTAAGAATATTGTAAATATATTACCTATAGTACTCTCAGTTTCACAATTTTCTATCATAAGTATCTTTTTCATTTTTCTATAATTTAAATTATCCAAATCCCTAACTGCGGCCTTGGTACGTTGAATTAAATCTATCAGAACATTGGGTGATCTACTTCGTGTAATAAATTGATGACTTAGTAATCTAGACGAGGTTGGGCGCTGAATCGGAGATTTCTAAAAAACAAAAAAAAAATTAATTTCACTTAAAGAACAACTCTGAGAAAAGACGTTTTCTGTATTAGTTTTCCGAATTCGATTTCCAAATCGGAAAGATAGATTGCACAGAAATCACTGAACTAGTCAATACCTCGTAACCTTCGTTTTGAGGCTACCTTAAGCAAAAATAAAAAAAAAAAAACGAATTTCCGTTTCGTTTTGCTCAGAATGGAAAAAGTGTTTTGAAGATTGGCTTTATCAGATACAAAAGTGAAATTTGTGATTTGTTTTAGTGCTCCTCGAAGTATAAACTTAATTAAATACCATCTTATTATTTTCATTACCTGTAGACATGCTTCTACAAAATGTTTGAAAACATCTGACCACACTTCGGCCCATTCAGGTTTGGATAATGTTGGCGACTCGTTTTGAGCAATGTGATATAGTGCAGACATTGCATTCATATTAAAATAAGGTGGTTTTCTTTCAGCTAATTCTATACATGTTATGCCTAATGACCAAACGTCTACTTTTCCATCATATTGACCCTCATCCATAGCTAATATTACCTAAAAACGTAATAACTATTATCCACTCATTATCGCTATAAGGTTTCTTTGGTTAATCCGGATATTTACAAGGGTTATGGTAGCAAGAACGTCCATTAAAGTTTATAAGGTTAGTAAATTAATGTTCTTGAAACGGACTGTCAGTGCATTCTTTCATCCATAATAAATGGAATCAGTCTACCAATAATTAATTGATGGTATTTCTTTTCGTTCTCGACAAATAGCACTCCAGCATGTTAAAATAATTATTAACTCACCTCTGGGGCCATCCAATATGGAGTCCCCACAAAAGAATTGGCAGGGCATTTTATAGAAGCACTACCAAAATCTGCTAATTTAACAGTACCATTTTCAGTTAATAATATATTACCAGCCTTTACATCACTGTAAAATAAAATAATTAATTTAGTATATAGTAACAGTATTTAATGAAGAAGAGGTGAAATCGCTGGGTTAGATATGTCAATTTAAGGATCTTCCAATCTCCTTTTTTATTATTAATAACAAACCAAATGTTCAAACAATCTACTTACCGATGAATCCTGCCCAACTCATGCAAATAACTAAGTCCATGTAAAACTCCATCACAAATAGCAGATATTTCTTCCTCTTTCAGCGGTCTCTTATGTACTTCTATGATATCTGATGCAGATCCAAGACAGTATTCCATTACTAACCAAGCTGTGTTGTCCCTTAGATAACACCCCTTATATTCGATTGTGTTTGGGTGGTTTAACTGCTTTAAAAACCTACAAGTAGATTACCGGTTCAATATGTTTCCATTAATAGGAGCACAACTTCAAATGCATTGTTAACGAGAATTTATTTTTGAAAAGATAACCGTGTCAATTATTCAAAAGTAGGAAAATGCTACTCATGTCCTTTCTAAAATAACTGATTCAATTTCCAGTCCTACCGTTTCTTTAGACAAGACAATTTTATTTTAGTTATTCTTTATTTTCTTTACAGGTAGTAATTATTGCAAATTCAAAATGTCATGACTACTTCAACTTAATCTTCATAATTAGGTTGTTTTATTATTAGTTATGTTTTATTAATATTAATATTTCTATAGTTCCTATACATTGCTAAAATTATTTCACAAGTTATATTGATTACAGTCAAAAAGAAATGTACCACGTACCTAATCTCCTTCAAAATATCCTGCCACTTCTCCAAACTTTGTTTTCCGAGATATGACATTTTCTTGACAGCCACAATCTCTCGGGTGATGAGACACCGAGCATAGTAGACTGCCCCAAAACTGCCATGGCCGATTTCCCGGAGGTCTTCAAATATCTTTTCTGGATCATGCTTGAAGAAAAGGTCTGCAATATCAGGATCGCGCAGGCTACCCGGACGCGGCACGGGCGCCATGTTTTGGAGTGCCACAGCTATACTGGCATCTCCTAAAAAAAATGTTATTATAATAATAATTATTACATAAAACACTCATAGGTTTTTTTGTTAATTATTTGTTAAACAAAAAATTACGAGGGAGCAATGATTTAAAATATATTTTTTTCACTTTCTAAAGTCAGCCTTTTTTTGGCGCCAAATAACTATGAGGATAAAGAGGCAATAAAATACATTTAGAACAAGATTAGAAGTATAATTTTTAAACCAAGGATTCTGTACACTATCAAACAAATAAATAAAAAATTATTAAATAGCAAGATCTCTAAATGTCGTTTTTAATTCTTTAAAGTCACACGTTTCCAGGGCTCTCTATCAAACTAGCAAAAATCAATATTTAACTCGAGAGTCTAAATACCATTTTTACTATGAATGATTCAGTGTAATAGAATAAATAAAAAAATGATTCAATGGCAAAGCCTCTAAATATAGTTTTTTAGGTCTTTAAAATCACCTACAAAACTGTAGATACTTAATATAATTTTTTTGTTTTTTAAGTAAAATTTAAATGAAAAATGTTCCCACCTTTTTCGTTTATATCTCTGTGAGTTGATAATACGTTCTTAATTTATATTTTCGCCCATTCTTAGTTGCATCTTGACGAAATGTAAACAGTAAGGAGAGGTAAAATGTGTTATCGCGAAAGGTCCGCTTTGATCTTAAAGTCACGCCTTTCCGCGGATAAATATTACTCTATCAAAGTAGCAAAAACCAATATTTAACACAAGATTCCAATCACAGTTTTTATACCTATGATTCAGTACATTAGTATTAATCAAAAAAATAAAAAGTTCTGTGGAAGCATGCAACTATAAAGATCTAAAAAATATATTTTGATGTCTTGCTATTTAATAATTTATTATTTTTTGATTGATACTAATGTATTGAATTATTCGTACTAAAAATTATTGTATTTGTAATCTCGTGCTAAATATTGATTTTTGTTATTTTCATAGAGTAATGTTTATTTGCAGAAACGCGTGAGTTTAAAGATCTAAAAAATGTATTTAGAGGGCTTGCTATTTAATGATTTATTTTTTTTTTAATTGATTTTTTCTTTTTTTTTTAGTTTTACACCCTTTAGACCTCCCGTGCTACACCCTAATCTATCTGTAGTCTGGCAGCACTGCAGCCTGCGGCTTATTGTACCACCATTTGAAGGTCCTACTACTTTCCCATTCACACCCTCATTCATTCCACATCGTCGATGGTTAAACGCTAGTTGGATGAATCCCATGGTGACACGGCCCATGGTGAAACCTCCCAGCGGTCCCCCATCCACGACGTGACCGGAGTTGTTTGGGTTGGGTTAGGTTAGATACACTGTATTATTTAGAATTTTTTTGTAAGTACTACATAAATAAATTATACTATTGTCCCATCACCGATCAGATTGGCAAAAGAGACTTGCTAAACTTGCACCCATACTTAGAAGTTAGTGTAGCTTTGAACATCTAGAACCAACCATGACAAGTGGTCATCCATACATAGAGTGGTTGTGAAAAACTGGGGGAACTCAACTCCCTTTACCAACATAATATCTACATCAATGAGGTAAAGTCATCCACCATCAATTATATTGTATTGTGGATGTCAATTCATAACAAACACATGATTAGAAATTATTTAGAAAGTCAGTCAAAATTTTAACTGTTTATGATCTAATTATTGTATTTTTTATTTGTTTGGCCTTTTTGTCCTAAATACTGTTACTTACCTCACTTAGATGGATAAAGGAAAGTTGCATTCATGTTGCATTCATATTAAATTCACATTCCATAATTAAAAAAAAAACCTTTTAAATAATTAAGTATTATCTATGATGTCTAATAAATAAAACAAGAATTCTAACTTTTACATGTACATGCTCAATAAAGAGATAAGATAAAAATTATCACATGGGAATGCAACTGGAAACCTCAATACAACATAACTCTTTGCACAGAGTAATAACCATAAAAATACAATTCCTAAATTGTATACATTCTTTATTTGAGGAAAAATAAATTAAGTTAAATATATTTTAAGTATTTCATTCACAAATTTGCACCAAACTTTGCACTGAATCCTGGTTTACTTTATAAATTAATTAAACACAAAGTGGATAATAAAATAATATTAAACTAGACAAAGGGGTCGGAAAACTTATTAGTCAGTGGAGCCAAATAGCAATAGTAAAATGACCTAAATTTATTTTGAGAGCCAATTTTTTTAAACTTAAAATAGGTAGGTACATTGTTAACTTAATTAGGGTACTCCTAAGCTGGCTTTTGCTAAAAAAAAACGCTCCAATCTGATTGAGGAACATTTGCTGAGGTCGACCCTTTCCAACTCTCTTATCCACACTTGTCTTGTAAACTTGGTTCTTCTATCTACTATCGTTCATCCTCTTTATACAGATTAGGAAAAAAAATATATATAGAGACATAGGCTATAGGCACTGCGAGTGAACATCCATCCCTATATTTTGTGTGCAACGACTACCACCTCTCTTGTGACCTTCGAGCGTGCGAGCTCATAGAAAGTTCCAATTTAGTAATGCATGATCTATTGATGGATATAGTTCTCTCTAATTAAATAAATACAATATTTACTTAATTCTCTGATTCTAGAATTAGGAATTATATGCAAGTGAAACATAATAACTCAGTTTTGAATTAAATATTAATATTTTTGATCTAAGTTTACCATCAATGAAAAAAGGTCAATAATGTGGTCCCTTAAAATACTATTGCAACCCCTAATTTCTTAGGATACTGCATGCAATTGTGCATATCGGAATACTTAAAGTGTTTATTTTTCTGAGCACAATGTCTCTGGATTGTTAGTGTGTAATGAAAAAGTTGACTTGTCAGTAAATAAAATCTAGTTTAAAAAGTTTTCATTTCGACTCTGCCGATTTGTCATAACTTCACAAAACTACAAAAATTAAAAAAAAAAAAACAAAGTAACGAACTTATGCTATACTTAATAATGGCCTGCAATTAATAGATACAAACGTACCTATCCGAATGGCTTGTATAATTTTTTCCAAACCTGTATATTCAAACTATATCAACATATCTTTCTCAATATTTGAAACTACATCTTTTCTCACTCTATAATGCATTTTTAAAATTAACTTAATAAACTTTAAACTTTTAAGTCTTAAATTATAGGTGCGTTGAATAAAACTTGATATCATATTTAATAACGATATTATTTGTTGATTATATTTAAAAATATTGATTTAAAATAAAAAATGAAAATATCACAATTTCAACAGGCTTGGAAAGTAATTCAAAATGGAACTTGGAGGGAAGGCAAAGTGCTTCAGACAGAGACAATAAAAGTTCTAACAACAGATTTTTACTTCAATTCTAGTCTTTTCTGCAGAGATACATGTTCAGAAGTAATTTATATTGTATGTTATACATTGATATCCTATCTTTCTGGAATTGTTTTTTAATAAGTCACTTCAGAGTACTCGCCTAAAGATAAAGACATAAACGCCAACCAAGTATGAAAAAATAGAAATAAGAAAAGCAGCCATCACGAAGTTTTAATCGAACTGTATGTGGGATCACACACTTTATAGTTTGTGGAAGAGCAAGGTGCCAAAGAGCCGCAGTTTGCTGATCTCTGATCTAGAAATCACTACAAGAGGAAAAAGGCCTAGTAAATAAATATAAATTTCTTTGAATAAGACTGGGAGGAGAGTATGGTAATACAGATATTACGAATTTCTCATGATTTTCAATAAATTTTAATAATTTCAAATATTTGTTGTATTAGTCCTATCTGTAAATTTGATGTGTCACAGTCGGAATTTTTAAACTACACCTAATACTAAAAGTATGTGCTTGCAAATTAATCTCATTGAAAATAATTATAAATTTTAACCCATAATTGTTAATTTTTAGTTAAGGGTGACACATTTTTTTATTATCCTTATATTCAAATCAAATTCTTTATTTTTGTATTAGGGACAATATACAAAGTGTAAATATTAAACAAAAATAAAACTAAAATTAAAATTGATGCAAAATACCAACTGTGTGATGTTCTAGTGTTATTGTGTGAGCTAGATCCACTTACTGAGTAAAAATGGAGTATTTGTTTTCAACAGGACTAGAGGAAAACCTAGCAAAACCCATAGTGCCATAATTTGTAATTGGTAATTACATCAATCAAACAGTTTGCAACTATTTTTACTACATATTATATTAAGCAAAAACCAAACACAAAAATTGATGCAGACAGAAAAAAAAACTTGATCCTATCTTATTTCTAATCCTAACTTATCACATGAATTTGAAATATTTCAATATCATTTAAGATATTTCTAATGGTTGACTTACATCTACCTACATTTTTAATATTTTTTATAGGAGGTAGAGACATATATTATTATAAAATTGTATGCATTTAAAATAACATCCTTTTTCAAATAATTTGGTTTTATGAGTTGGGGGGCGTCCATTAATTACGTGAGGTATTTTTGAGGATTTTTTGACTCCCCCTCCCCCCCCTGGCGAGATTTGGTAAGATTTTCCTTAACTCCCTCCCCCCCTTCCCTAATCTCACGTGAGATTTTTCAAAATTCGTGTTTTGGGTGTAAATGTGTTGGATTATTAAAAAAAACAGTAGAGGTGTGTAATGTGACACTTCCCAACCTTCAATGACGTTAGTAATGACAACATTACATATATGGTTGTAAATAAACATAATTATAAGATTTTTCCATATTTTATTCTAGAATTTAACTTTACTTTCACGCAATTTTACACCGTTTTCTACTAGAAAAAAAATTACGTGAGATTTACGAAAACCCCCCTCCCCCCTAAGTGAGATTTAGAAAGATTTAGTTTTATCCCCTCCCCCCCTTGAACACCTCACGTAATTAATGGACGCCCCCTTGGTACTACAAAAAAACTATCTACTCTGCGTTTATTATGTGTATGACCAAAAATATGTTCTCTGAAGTAAACCAAATTTTCAATAATTACAAAAT